TATATATATATATATGTACGTATGTATATATACATATGTATATGTATATGTATATATATACATATATATATGTATATGTATATATACATATGTATATCATATCATATACTCCTTTAAAAGTACGAGTTCGGGAAAATCTTTCTATGAACAATATTACCCTTAGGTTTTTTTGAATATTACACCTAATCTATTCTAATTATCCTATCTTCTTTGAATTGGTAACCAAATGATTTATTCTATTCATAATGGGACTTAACATGTTATTAAATAAAATAGACGTGTTTCATATAATTTAAATACTTCCCTTATTTCAGTTCGTAGAGAAATCTAAAAAACATATGCTAGCAAGTACTTAAAAGTTTTTAGACTTTGTAAAAAATATTCTCCAAGTTTTTAAAAATACAAAAACACCCCTATAAATTCAAAATTTTATTAAAACATATTGAAAATTATAAATTTTACTTATCACAATTCAGTGAGAAATTTGAAAAATATGTGCTAACTAGGAACTAAAAGTTTTTTGACTTTGGAGAAAATATCTTATAAGTTTTAAAAATTATAAAAACACCCCTAAAATTTTAAAATTTATAAAAAATATCTTTAAAATGTCAAACTTATAAACATACTAAAAACCTATAAATAACACAAACAACCCCTAAAAATTTATAGAATTTGCAATACACACTAAATTTTTTACAAATTACAAAATAAAACCCTCAAAATTATAAAATTTACAAATATCCTGATAATTTTTGACCTAACAGTACATTAAAAATATAAGAATTATAAATATCCCCTACATAATTTATAATTTATAGAAAATATCCTTAAAGTTTTAAAAATTACAAACAATCTTTTAAAATTCAAAATTTACAAAAAACACCCTAAAATTTTCAAATTCATTAGTAAATTGAAAGCATAGGAAGTATTAATAGTCTATAAACAATTTACAATCTGTAGAAAACACCTATAAGTTCAAAAAATTACAAAAAGTCCTTAAAATCCATAATTTACAAAATAAAATCCATAAGAATTTCTAACATATAGACACTAAAATGAATATGTAAAATTACTAACAATCCCTAAAAAATTAAAATTTTGCAAGAAATATCATACACCTTCTAAAAGTATAGGTTTAGAAAAAACTTTTTATGGTAAATATTACTCATAACTTTTTTGAGAAGAACATAACTAATTGAAAATCTATTAAATTTAAAATTTATAAAAAATACCCTTAAAAGTTTAGTACATTGCAAATTACCCCTCCAAAGTTTAAAAATTTTTAATGATTTTTTTGTAATTCCTTGACTTTAATATAATGTTTAATAGTTTTGTGTATTTATAAATTACAAATCTTAGGGTGTTTTCACACTTTTTAAAACTTTTAAGGGTGTTTATTTTGTAGTTTTCTAAATTTTTATTGTGTTTTCAGTGTAATGCACATATACATAAATTAATGATGATATTGAAGAATAAGTTGTTCTTAAGATTATTAGACCATAGTTAAGTGTGCGCATCACTATTCCTAGACAATATAGTTTATATATGCAAAAAATCTCAGACAATCTATGTAGTGTTTAAAAAGATTGACTTTAATATACTATTTTTTATAAATTATATTTAATGTGAACTCACCATATAATTTTGACTGTGGTCATTATAATTTTAATACGTTTGATTGATTGATAATATACGTACATAGACCATAGATTACTTTACTTTCTCACATGAGCTAACATTTGGTACTTAATAATTTAAATTATTACTTTTAAATTCAATATAAAAAGGAGCTCTAATAACATTAATTTATTTACCTACAACATAATACAATCTTAATTTATATTTTTTGCTGGAGATTTATTCTATAGTTTCACATATCAAATTAGTAACTAAAATAATAATTATTTATGCTTAAATTAGGACAATTGTAGTTAGTCACTCACCATGAAATTTTTATGAAGATATATACCTTACTTTCTATAGCTATCTGCACTACCCATGTATATTTTATAAAAGATATATACCTTACTTTCTATAGCTATCTGCACTACCCATGTATATTTTATAAATTAGTTCTTAATTTAACATATTAAATTACTTTTATCTGCACTACCCATGTATATTTTATAAATTAGTTCTTAATTTAACATATTAAATTACTTTTTCTTTGTAAAAATTTCTTCTTTGACTTTTAGACTGTGTAATCACTATATCACCATTTTAGCATAAAAATGACTTCATTCTAAATGGCTTCAAGCTAATGTTTGAGTTGCACTGAAGTATATACTATTGTTACTATGTGTATATATTTTTTAAGAAAATCATGTTAGCATTTTTTAAATAGAAGAGAATATTCTAATCTCTGATATTATAAAAATTAAATATATCCAATTGAATGATTAGGAAAAGAGAACTTACATCAGAAAAGTGTGAATAATATGATAAAAAGGAAAGATAATGACATTGCCAATAGTACTACAAATAGCAAACTATAATGTAAAATTAACCTATTTTGTGGAGCCCAACTACTGGCTATAAGCATCGAGGTTTTCGTATATATACTTTATAATTTATTAAAAATGGTCATATAATCTTATATAATAAAATTGATTTAATATTGAATAGTAATATCATTGCAATGATATCATTATTACAAAAAATTCTTCATGAATCGATGTGCTCTTTACGATATATAAGCTATGCACTCTAAATTCTTGTGTCTTTTATTGAGCCAAAAAATTTGAATACGAACCTCTAACATGTTGCTCTCACAACAGCAAAATCCACTTAGGAGATATAGATATTCTAGATGGGTTATATATCCTATATACAATACAATTGTTCTAGGCAAGTGAGTTATAATAGCATTTTACATTTCCATCGTTTGAGGTAAGATTTGATAGAGACCTTGCATCAAAGAAAAAAGAAATTTTTATATTTAAAGCACATGGCGAAATATACCATAATCTCTCTATTCTAATTTCATAAGAAAATAATTCTTTATACTTTCAGTTTTACTTCTGTGATACAGAGAAAGAGCTATAAAATTAAATGAGAATATTAGATAATATAAATATGAGCGAAACGTCAACTAAAAGTTTAACATGAAGATGAGTCAAACCACAACTAAAAGTTTAATGGATATATTGCAAGTAAATTCATATGCAAAATTCTTTTGCGAATTGAATGATCACCCATCTTTTAAAGACTTGAAGATACTAATAAATAGAGATGTTGTACTAAATTAATGTGTTTAGAACTCACAAATAGTAGATCACGTAACCACAATCTGGATTGAAGGAAACAATGATAATATTTTATTTGAGAAAGATTATTAAGTTGATGATTAATCCCAAAAAAAATTATTTTCTTTTTTTACTCTATTTTTATCAATTTAAATAATCATGATATTCAACCACGTGCTTTGCACGTGCATCTCAACTAGTATACACACACTAGTGTTAGACCCGCGCAATGGTGCAGATATTTTTTCAGGTACATATTTTATGAAAGATAATGTTAAAGGCTTTATTTTAATGGGACAATACATCAATTTATAGTTCACAGTTGGAAGAAACATAATTGATCAATTAATCTTCATTAATATTCGGGATAGAAGGAGAAAAAAAGTCAGTTACACTTCATCTTCATGAGAGTAAAATAATGATATAGGTATACACCAACTTCATAAAACTAAACCCTTCTATGAAGATAGGATGAAAAAAAAGACAAATATAGATCCAAAAGTCTTAGCCTAGCCTATTCTAAATTCAACTACATGTTGAAAATTGAAAATGAATCAATTAAGGAGCTAGTAAATGATAACAAGTTTAGCAACATGATAAAAGTAAATAGCATCTCAATCAAGATATTTGCTCTTGTATCTAAACCATCATAATTTTAAGATGTGTAGACTCAGTGCTTGTTTACAAAACTAAAGATAGACACATTAAAAGATGAAGAGCATATGGACTATTCTACTTTCCTTTCCTTGTTTCTTATAGGCAAAACTCCTCCATTAGTTCCATTTTCTCATTATTTCTTATCGGTAGTTGAATGTGCCTAGACAAAGATCCTTTCCCTTGCCGCATTGCTAGCTACTCCAAAACCTACCAAATAAAACGAAAATAGAATGAAACAACCATGCATTCAACTTAGAAAAATATATTTCATTATTAACATTCTAAAGCAATGTTAAATCTAATATTCCATAACATTATTTAAAAGTCAAAAAATTAAAAAAATAAAAAATAAAAATTATAGAACCAAAAAATACGTCGGGATTTTTACATGGTTGTCGGGGAGATAAGAAGATAGTTGGGGAATTGAAGACCAATAAATAAGTACAGAGCACTAATTCTAAAAACTAAAGATAGAACATGAAACGTCAATTTGAAGGGATATCTGTTCCCTATCCAAAGTTTGAAACTTCCTCCATTTGCTTTGAGCTTAAGAGCATTAAAGGGGTTTCAACGTTGATAGCTTCGGTTATTTATATTTTTGCAATTGAAACGGTATATGAAGAAGTTGAAGTGGTTTCAACATTGACAACGCCGGTTATTTATATTTTTGCAATTGAAACGGTATATGAAGAATTTGAAAAGGCAATTTCTTAACTAGGCAGCTTTTTTCCAATTAGGTATAATTAAATGAGGTAGGATTTAATTGAAACAGTTTAATTAGAAAGAATTTAAAAAGATAATCTGTTAATTAGGCATAGTAAAATTAGGGCGTGATATAGGCAATGTAGAAGAGATTAATTAGGTAGAAAAAATAGTGGTTAGGATTAGGGTTTTGCATTAATTAGGGAGGATTAATCGGGATTTTTTTAGAAATGAAAATGTAAAATATGGGTTGTAAAATCTAAGAGGTTGACATGTGTAATTCTAGGGTCCAAATGGTCTAAGAAATTGCCAAGTGGCATTTCAGGGTATTACTTATATATATATATATATATATATATATATATATATATATATATATATATATATATATATAGATATAATGGGTATCCTTGTCATAGGAGGCGGTTTCCTCCTTGACGCCTCTAAATCATATGATTGAGCGACATTATGGATGATTCCGCGCTCCGTTAAACTTGATCTATATATATTCTAAAACCCCAAACACACCAAGTTTGGGGTGAAATCCGTGTTGTTTGACCCTCCATCGAGCCATTGTGAAAAAGTTCTATTCATTCAAAACCGTTAAAATTGATACGAGTGGATGAAGGGTATCAAACGACGACGCGTTCACCCCAAACTTGGTGTGTTGGGATTTATAGAATATGTAGATCAAGTTCAACGGAGTGGATCATCCATAATGTCGCCTCAATCATTGATTTTAGAGGCGTCATAGAGGAAATCCCCTCCTATGACAAGGATACCCATTAATCTCATATATATATATATATATATATATATATATATATATAATATATATATATATATATATATATAGAGAGAGAGAGAGGAGAGAGCGAGGAGAGCATTAAATGTCTTTGATTCTCTTTTTATTATAACTTCTGATGTTTGCTGCTGTTCTTCGTGTCAAGAGTCTGAAAAGATAACACATAACATGCATACCATTCTAGCCCCTGTATTACCCAGTTACACCTTTTGTGTAGAGTCAGTCTAGTGTTCCCTAATTCATCCAACCCCCTCAACTTCGATCTAGTTCATGATTTCTGCTTTGGATCTAGATCAAGGAAACTGGTGACAAAGAAATAAAAGATCACTAAAAACTAATTCATTCAACAAGATGTTCTGATATATCCAGTGCTAGCATATAGCATTGTTTTAAAAAGTGTTAGGCAGGCCTAACTGCCTAGGTTGTTCTAGACGGAAGCATAGGCCACATTATTGCAATTAGATCATGATAATTTTGTTCGATTAATTTTGTTTTCTACATTAACTAAGTTTATAACTAGTTTCATGGATATTAAAAGTTGATAATTTCTATTATCATAACTCACTTCCCTAATTTTAAACATATTCAAATGTATATGTATGTCTTTGATGTCTATGTTCACATATTACATGCACAATTTTTAAAATTATCCAAGCTAATGCTAAAAAATTGCATGTTTGACTTGTCAGATATAAAATCGACTGCCTTTTGGACTAACTTCAATAGCTATGCTTATATTTTATTTCCTGAAAATGACATGCATAGAAGTACAGTAAAAGTCACATGTCATCGTGATGGCAGGGAAACCATTTCCCGGAACTATAGATTAAAAATAAAGAAGTACTAGTCTTAACAAACATAAACTCTAATGTATCTTTCAGTTATACAAAGCTAATATTCCATGGTATAAGCATCAGCAATAACATGATGTAAGATACTACAATATTTGTTTACAAGAAAAGGATTATTGGAGACATTTGTAACTCAACAGCAAACTCTCTGGAAACTGCACAAAGCACAATCATTACACAGTCGATCACTGAGTTTATGATTCGTCTACCAAATTCATTGCTGGTGTATTCGTTTTGATATTCCCTCCACGAGGTTGCAAAACCACAAAACCATTAGCAACATATTTGTTAATTGGTTTTATGATTTGGAGATCCTATTGTTTCAAAAGAGAAAATGGATAGTCCCGTCTTCTATTTTCAACATTAACATGAGCACTTTATTTTGTAAATTTGAAGGGTATAGGTAGGTTAGATAGCAGATTATGACATATTGTGGAGTTCTTGAGACTTTTCAATACCTATTTATTTTGCTTTGTTGCAGCGGTCACTTGGTATGTGCTTATTGATGTGATGAAATGCATCTCTATTTGTTATGAAATGCATCTCTATTTGTTTTATACATATAAATCAGTAAAAGATGTTTACCATTAATGTCAGCTTTGTTCTTTTTTGATGATGTATCTACATCACATGGATGTACGTATTGAAACTTGGTTGTTAGGCTTATCTGATATAGATAATATTTCATACATAAAGTAAACACATGTTTATTGTCTATAAATCAGTACCTATCTGCTCAATGTCTGATGTATGTACAGTCATTCATGTGATAGCTTTCTTTTTCTTTTGGTACAATGATATTCTTATTTTCTTATGGCTAACCTTTGCCTAGGTGGTTGCATGTATTTACACATCTTTTGTTTTAATAGTTGAGCCCTTGTGAGTTATTCAACTTAAGGGATAAGTTTCGCCAAGCTCCTCCTAGCGGTCTTGATCAATCAAAAAATAAAGTTATTGAAGGAGGTTTTGCAATGCTTATCACCCTGTGCCACATAAGAAAGTTACTTACCAGCCATGGTGTAAGGCCAGCTTATGAAATGCTTGCCGATAAGCTGCAATCAGGGTATGTTCAGGCACTTGTCTAATAATATATCTTTGTTTATGTAGAGATATTCCTGGACCAATATGTTATCCTCGCTTAAACTTAGTTTTTTCTCTCTATTTTAGTGTTATTATTTAATTATTTTGACTCGTGTCAGGGTTAACAGTAGTTCCCTAGGGGATAACCCAGATAGTTCATCTGAGATTTACTAATGCTACTTTATTTATCTCAACTTGTGTAAGGTTAAATGTAGTTCTGCAGATAATCTCAATAATGTTGCATCTGAATATCACTGATACTGATTGAATATTGTTGCAGTTTATGGTCGTAATTTCATTCTTCATTTTTATGTTTCCTATACTTCTATATGCTTTGATCTTTTATCTGATGCAGAATATTATTGCAGGCCATTTGCAAGGAGTGCAAGTAAGAATGAGACGATTAAGAAAGCAAAACTTTTAATGGAGCAATGCATATCTCATGGTGCCCCAAGTCCAAAATTAGTGAAGCTGAGAGAAATTCTTACAGATCATTTCAGTATGTGATGCCCCACTATCTTTTTACTTGTAATGAGCATTTATATCCGAATCTCTGTTGATGCTGGTTTCTGATGAGGAGAATTATTAATGTGTTGAATAAAATTCTCTTTTGTTGGCTTTATTCCAATTATTACCAAATGGATATAATTAATTCAAATTTAATATCACCTATTTCCCCCATTTTTCTGATAAAAGATTTCTTCTGCCTTTGCTGTGATTTACTCTGTTAACTTCTTCACTAATCACATGTTGGTTCTTGCTTGCAATTCTCAAGCCAATTTTATGGATCTGAAAAGTCACCTTATTACTAGTAAACATCAATCTCTTTGTTGTTAATTGCTTCTTTGGGCAGCGACAATTACATCATCTCATGAGGATTTATTCTGATGCAGAAACAAAAGATCCAAAGAATTCAAGGGTTATCATCTTCTCAAATTTCAGGGGAAGTGTTAGGTAAGAATTAGAACTTGAACTTGGCGATTTTTTATAACTTAGAACTTTATTGCTCTACTATTTAAACCTATCATCAACAATCGCGGAATGCGTTACTAAAGATTTTCTTTTCGCAACTATATTTTCTAAATTTTTCTTTGCTATAAAAGGCCAAATGAATTTCCCTCGTAGTTCAATGCTATTTCAACTGCATAGAAAAGATGTGTCACTTAAAATATTACTTTGTGGTGCATGAACGATTTGAATAAATCCCTACTTGTAAAACATAATAAACAACAATCGGCAAAAATTGTGAATCATAATGTGGTAAACTAGGACAAATTTTTAAAAACACCTCTTTTTCAAAATTAAATAGCAAAAATGACCGTTTGCCCAAAATATTAGCAAAATCGACATTTTTCAGAGGAAAAGGGTCGATTTCGCTGTGGAATTTTTTTCCAGATTGGACGGGACTAGTAGTCCTGTCCATTTCACTCAAAGTCCCCGTTCTTAACCCTGCTGGTGGAGGGAGTGGTCGAGGGGGGACTTGGAGGAGAGGAGGCGGAGGGACTCGGCGGCGGGGTCAAAAGCCGAGGCCCTACGGGGAGGCAGGAGAAGGCGTCGGGGGGATTAGAGGCGCGCGGAGTTAGGGAGCGCGAGAACGGGGCCGCCGCCACAGAACGCGTGCGGGGCCTAGGAGGGCGTGGGGGAGAGAAGCCACGCGTGGCGGGGTGGGTGGCTGCAGCTTGCCGGAGGAGCGTTGCCGCAGTAGCAGAGCCGATCGGGGAGAGCCCGAGCTTAGAGCACCAGCTTCGGCAGCGACGGGCGGGCGGCTTCCTGCTCGGCGAAGATGGGCGGGAGAGCGCAAGGAGGAGAGGTGGGCGATTGCTCTGGCCGGCGGAATGGTGTTTTTAAGGAAAGCTGGGGGCGGAGGAGGGTGTCGGGCGCGTGCCGGAGGGCCAGGGCCAAGGAGAGCTCGACCGGACAACGGTGAGGAGGAGGTGGAGGAGAGGCTGGGCTCGATGGTGCCGCGGATGGTGCTGGAATATGCGCGAGAGGGGCCGGGCGACGACCAGAGGGGAGACGGAGGCGGAGGGGGAGGAGGAGGGGGATAGGGATTGGGATCACAATTTCTTGGGGGGTTGGGTCACGAGCGCACAAGAGGGAGAGGGTTGGTGGGGGGTGTGAATTAAAGTGCACTGCACAGGACTATTAGTCCCGTGCAGTTCGCTAAAAAAAACAAAAGGGTCGGTTTTGCTTATTTTTTTATAGGGAGTCGATTTTGCTTAATAAATTAAAAAAAGGTGTTTTTAAAAAATTTGTCTGGTAAACTACTATGGGGAACACATGTACATCTACCCAAGCTAGGAAGGAATAATTGCATTTATTCTTACGTACTGCTTTACTTGGTACGGTGCAGTGCACAATCCTTTAAGCTTAATTGGTTTAAAGATCACAAGGATTTGGTCTAAGGTGCTGACTGTGAGGGTATGAGCTGCTTTCAAGAGTCATTAGTAGTTTCCAGTAATGTCTATTAATTTTCCCATAAAGTTTAGGGACACAGTTACAATCCCCATGAACGCCTGAATATAAGACCAACATTTGTATTATATTGACAAAAAGGTTCTACAACTGGTAACATGTAGCTGTATGGAAATGGAGTTCATCACTATTCTCAGCTAATTTCTCCATATTATTGTTTTTAACCAATGCTGTGGGGATCATCAAATGGCCATCAATTATATATTTCAATTCAGAAGTTGATATTTATCTATTACTTCAAAAATCTCATGGATGTGGTACTGAAACATCTCGCTAGTACAAACTAGATTTGCACATATAATCCTCACTTACACTAAGTGTCATAGGCCCATATCATATTAACCTGTAAGTAATAAAGTCCACGATCTTAATTATCTTTTGATAATAAATAAGCCTCTAGATCCTTATAGACTTGGGAATTTTGGGGCTAGTTCATGTTTGCACAGGCTTCATTAGCATGACCATTAATTTTAGGTGGATGTTCCGTACAATTGATCACAAACATTTTTGGCGGTTTCTTCTTTTGATTAGTTGTCTCAGCTTGAATTGACCACTAATGCATAAAATTTGAGACCCAGTTGAAGATCAGTTCTTTTGAGGAGCTTTTTTCTTTACCCTTCAAAGCTCAGCACATTTTGAAGAGAAGAGTTTTGAAAGATGCTGTATATCTGTCTTGATGCAATATTTTATCACTTAATTTTTACTCATGATACTATCTAGGAATCTTGAATTCGTAATTCGTTTCTTGTTGGTTTTTATTTTTATTTATGATGGTTCTTATGTTATTGAGTTGCAGTTGAAGTCACAGTCTTGTGGATTCTAGAGTAGTGCAAAACTTTTCATGTTGATTGGTGCCATTGATTGCCCAAAATAAAAACAAAAACTTCATTATATGTTTCAACAAGTAAATCGCTTGAGGTGCAAAGTGCAAATGTATCGAATAAGCATCTCCATATTATTTGCTTCAATTGCCTCTAGAGCCTACAAAGTCGTCAACTGCTTGTCATGATGAAGGTGACTTACAGATGCACAGATGTTTAACTAGTGGTTCCTAGCACGATAGGAAATTCTTTACTCGGAACCGTAAAGATGAAGATAAGAGGTAGGTTTTCCGTGGATTATCTGCAAGGCTACTGAAGCTGCAAGTAACTATGATTGCCTTTATATGCAACACGCTCCATTCTGTAGAAGCAGTGAAGCACAGTAGGCTATGTGACTCCCTTGCATGATTATCTCCACATATGCCTTCGTCAAGGCTGCCAATTTGACACCTACTCACCAATATGGAGAAAGCCAGTGGAAGTTCACCTCTCTAGTTAATCCTATCTTAGTTATCCTCCTTTCATTTTGTTTTCATTTTTTGCTCCACCACAGCTTATATCCATCAGATAAGCGCTCAAGATGGAACATCTTTTCCCCCACAGATATGCATGCACCAGCTAAGCGTTCAACGTGGAACAGTTCCTGCCTTCGCTAGCAATATTTTATGTTCACTCTTTTTTAGTAACAAGACTTCCCAGGAGATCATCCATCTCCATTGTAGAATAATTCCAATCCAAGCATGCTGAACTATGGATTATAACCAAAAATTTTCTCAGAAGTTCTAAGTATCAATATATCTTGTTCATTGGAAGCTCAAGTATCAGATACCTTCCCCGTGCACAACGTATGTGGCTATTCACTTTTGGAATGTGGTACTTATTGCTATTAGAAAGCCTATAATTTGGCCTGTTATTTTAGCGTTCTTTATTAAGCTAATTTTAAGGTGGTGAATTGATACTACTGGCGTAAGAAATTTATCTTGATTTTTGGTTTACATAGTGTGAATATAATTCAGCTGGGCTGTTACTGAAAACTATTGAATAATTACAGAGACATAATGGATTCATTGTCAACCATCAGAGACCTGGTTAAAGCTACGGAATTTATTGGTCAAAGCTCAGGTTTGTTGTCTAATCTTCTGTTTGCTTGTTTAGCTCTCAAGTAAATACATGGAATTTGGCCATCCTGTATAAAGCTATATTTTTATCTTTATATCAAAAATTTGTGTTTGAGCTTAAAGTTGATTTTTCCCAAAGAAAATGAGAATTTAGCCATAGTAAACAAGAGCCCAAATAGATCAAAGTTGGCCAAGTTTTGTTATGCAATGACTAATTGATGAAGCCAGTATTTGCTCATGCTGGAGGCATATGTTGATGGTTATTATTTGTCAATTTCCTAAAAATCTTTTTTACATGTTATCACTCTTGGTATGTCAATTTCCAATATTTTACATTGTTTCCCTTATTGTATGCTGCCTATCATGGTTTTGTGTCTTTCACCATTCACACAGTAATCAGTCATCCAGAAAAATTGCAGGAATTAGTCTATTTGCCATTCATAGCAGTCCTTGTTCTTATTTTTGAAGCGGGAGTGTTAAAGGCATTGATGGTTTGTCTTTTATACATGCAAATAAAAGTCTAGAATATAGTACCAATTTCATTTTATATTACCACAATGGTTATTTAGTATAGCTCAGTGCTATCTGGAATTTATGATACTCTAATGAGTTAAACTTAAAATGAATCCCTCTGTAGGTACAGGAAAGAAAACTTGAGATGAATCCTTTCTGAACTCACATGATGGGATAGGTTATAGGAAGTTAGTATCACTTATGGAGGATCCAGACCATTCATCATGATCTTCATCCTTCTAAATATTGATGTCGAAGAAAAGTGCATTACTCAGAGATCTCTAGTCCACTCATCAAGTGGTCACATTTACTCTATTATTGAAAACCACTCATTTATGATCACCTGATAAGTGCGATAGGGTCTCTTGATCATGATATTTCTTGGGCATATATATTTTAGGGATAAACAGTTTTAATGACTCAAAACATGTCCTATAAATTCTTTCTTCATATGTGTTTTGAGAGGTGTTTACTCAGTCCATTTCGTAATGTGCATTCTCACACACGAGCACTCATGCACACATGCAGTGCATCAGCATGCCTTTTGTTGAAAGATGAAGAATGCTGGATATACTTATTAGCATTAAATAAAAAAAAAGAATTGAGGAGGAATCTGACCTGAAAATTTTGTAGCACATTCTGTTTACAAAGATTATTTCTCTGACAGATAGATGATGGTCTAGTCAATGGATTGTGAATTGTATGTAGTGAGTAATGTAGATGTTGATAGAGTATATGAAATGCAGTTTCAAGGGGTGTTTTTTCATTTCAAGCTCTGAAATTGTTAGGAAACATGTAAGTGTGAGAAATATTAGTAGTCACTTCAGCCTTGAGTTATTTAATCATACTAGTATGCAATACTGCGATGCACATAATGCATACTAAGAAACTATAAGAGTTGAATTATTTGAAGGGCAACTAATATTTTTTACTCAACAATCTTACAATTATTTATTAAATAGATTGATTAGTATAGGAACAACTATGTTAAATGAATGTTTATTTGAACACATTAAATAAAAATTGCATGAGAACATAATAAATCATTCTAGATAAAATTGACCAAAAAACCATACACATAAAGCTTTAAAAGTTTGATATTAAAATGACTGAAATTTTAGGAGATCAGATGCTAACTACAATTTGAGTTTGTATATATTGAGTCTTGATGTGTGCAAAATATATCTGACATTAGATCATTGTTTATATATTTTATTTTTGGTTAATGGAAAAGCTTTATTTCATTCACCATTGAACATTTGGGGTACATCACAAATTCAGCATAAGGACCTGAGTTACAAAAGCATCAAATTACAAAAGCATTCAAAAGATAAGATTACGATCCTTCATTCCATCTCTTACATTCCTCGTATAGTTTTTTGTTTAGTAATACTATTAAAACTAAAGCTTTAATGTCATTGACAATGATAATATGCTATGTAGATCTCTGAACAAATATACGTAGCTTTTTTGGCTAGAGTGTATATATGGTAGCTGAAAAACTCATCCTTATATATGGCTAGAGTGTATATATGGTAGCTTGTTTGAATTTGTTCCCTCTTATTATGCAAGAAAACCAGTCAACAAGACAATTTCAATAGCAAGGTCCCCATTACAATTCATAATCTCGTTCCAAACTTGCATTGAATAAACACATTAAAAAATCAGGTGATTATGATTCTCTTCAAGACCCTACGCACTAAGCACATGTTGGTTTGAAGAGAAAATCGCCATATAACATAATCGATCCTAGGTAAGGAGCTTAGAATGAAAAACATGGCATAATATGAAGAAGTGCTTAGGTTATAGACTAGAACTTCATACAATATTACTCTACTGAATAGGAAAAAATATAAAGGATAATTTAGAATACAAATCATAGATTAATATTATCTTCATCACAGCTAGCATGAATAGTTAAAATCAAGCCATTTGCACCACCAAAATATCCAATAGCATAATCTTTAATATTCAGTATTCGCTTCCACATCCAAGAATCCCCTTGTTTAGCTTGATTCTCCAAAAGAGTTGTATTTTTTAAGTGTCATGGATCCATTTGATGCATAAAAGACATTTTTTAGGTGAATGAGCTAAATGCAATTGTTAGCAATAACAACATTCCAGGTCCTCACAGAATACATTTCTAAACCACCATATCTCTTTTGTTAACAAACAATATTCCAGAAAAGTAGAGAAATATTTACAAATTTTTTTCTCCCATAGAAAGCTTATGTATAAATCATTTATGTTGCTCAGTACTTTCTTTGGCAATATATAATTACTAGTCCGAAGCGTTTAAATGCCTATAGTAACTTTTTAAAGAAGTTGGTGCCTCCCGGCATATAAAAGCTTCTTATACTTCATTCACACTTGAAAATTAAAATAAGGATCATTGTCAATCATTGTTTATATTTCTTTTATGTAAAGTAAACAAAGCTAAGTTTTTTCCTCTAAAAGAATAAATCTGAGCTACTGTGTTAATAAGTCCCCATTATGTATTATATATATTTGTCCATTTATTTGAACAGATTTCTTTGAATTTTGGAGGATAGTTTTTTTAATTCTAAATATACATTTGCCTAAAGAACCTGACTTTATGTCTGAGAACCACAATCCATTAAAGCTGATACATAACTCCATGTCATCCTAACATCATGAACACCATGTCATTACAACTTCCTATCCAGTAGTTTAACATATGAATACAACTTCAGATTGAGAAGACGCGGCAAGAACTTTTGAAATTTATATGCCAACCTACCAGTTATATTTATATCCAATAAAATAATAGATATAATTTGAAATAATGACCGTGTTATATATTAGGTTCGTCCTCATTACTATAAGGTGTAACTTCACTAAATTTCATGGTACAAATCATACTAAAAATCATCTTATAGTTGTCAAATATAATTCGAAATGAGGAGAACTTGTGAAATTTGAAGGATACGCGTAACAAAAATTTATAGAAATTGTTAAATGATTGGTGTGGAACTTCATTATTTAGGTTAGGTAGAATGAATCACTGTTATTGTGAACACACACATATTGGCGTAAAAGAAAAAGGAAAGAAAAGAAATTGTGAAGGATGAAGATTTTTACATTTATATTTAAGTTCAAGAGCTGATTAAGAAGCGTGCGCTCTCTATTTGTTTTTAAATTCTTATCTCTAACAAGCAAGTCATGATATGTAAATTGATAGAGTACCCAAACTGACAAAATAAATCAGTAGTCTTGTATCTTAGATTGCAGAACCACTCATTTTAATTTATATTATCAAACTCTAGAAATTTACATAGCTAAACTCTTTTAAAATTGTAGAAATTTAGGTGAAATAATATTAAAAGGCTACTTTTCCAATAAAATAAAGCATAAGTTGATTAAGGGAAAATAATAAAATATGATGAAATAGTTACCTTGATAGATAGTTCTGCCACCAACAGCAAATCCCTCCAACAACTACATCATAAAAAATAAAAAGGAAAGGAAAATTAACAAAAAAATATTACCAACAAAGAACAAATTACAATTGATAATCAACAAACTGCATAATAATAATAATAAATGAGGAATAAGAAACTACAATTACAGGAACAATTATTACGATTACAATTTTTACAAAAAATCAATGCTTACCCATTAAGGAATTAGATTCCATTTTCTCCATCATAATCCAAAAAATTAGCAATTTATATAAGCAAGCGGCTCTGTGAATTTAATATTTTCATTCAATTGGGAGTTGAGAAAGGAGCGAATTTGAATAGGCATTGCAATTAGTGGCAATTTTTTGATCATGTAGTGGGATGGGATGAGGTAGATCAAGGAGGTTAGATTATGAGATAGAAGAGAGGTAATTGATGGGTGAAGTTGCAAATTGAGGAGTTGATTAGTGTCATGAGAGAAAAATTAAAGACCCAAGAAGATGGATTTTGGATTTTACTTAGAGATGCGAGAAGAGGGACAAGGAGAGAAAACTCATTTATGTTATCAATATAAAGATCCAAAGGGAATGTTGTTCTTTTTTAGGAGTGAAGAAGCAGAAGAGGATGGGGGGGGGGGGCGAGATCCAAAGGGAATGTTGTTCTTTTTTAGGAGTGAAGAAGCAGAAGAGGATGGGGGGGGGCGGCAAAATTTATCTCAGAGAGAGACAAAGAGAGAGAGAAATAAATATCGAAATAGTAGAAGAGGGGAGAGAGAGACCAAAATAAATAGCCATTCAAAAGTTAATTAATTAAATTATTAAATATGGGAATTGGCTAATTAGAATTAGGATATGATAGCCGTTAAGAAAATTGAAAGGGGGCAAATAGGCATTCAAAAGTTTTGACAATGGTTTTCTCTCTTATAAGTAGTATAGATAGCTTATGATAATTGAGGTTTTGTTAAGTTTAAGGTAAAAGAGAGGGAGATTGAGCATATTAACTAGTAGATAGTGCATAGAAACAATGGAACGTGCATAGAAACAATGGTCTGAATGTAGGGAATTAAGAAACATTAATTCCAAAGAAATAGTAGGAAAATGAGAATGCTTCAAGGGATAAGTAGAAATGCACTGGATAGAATAACGAAATAAGTGCGACTACAAGAAGTTAGAGATTGCTTTTTTTTGTGTGGATGAAATGAGAGTTACCACCTTGGAGAAGTATAATAATACTAAGGAGGACTAGAAGTAGATCTAAGAGAACTTGGATGGAGACAATTAAGAAAGATATAATAGTGGTAACTTGATTGAGGAGACAACCATTGAACATAACTGAATGGAAGAAAAGAAATAATGCAACGAACCCATAACATTTTGGAGCTAAGACTTTGTTGTAATTGTTGTATCAGTGAGGGCCTATTCGTATTGGATCAACAAACCCGTTTCCCTTGTGAGTAATTTTTCTGTCCCTTAAATTAATAAAGATGATATACTAGTCCATATACTCCATTACTTATTGTTGGCAGTCTTTTACTTGTTAAGGAATATTCATCTTCTATGTTTGTGGTTCCAACCACACAGAACAAAATTTGTGCTTCGATCTGTGTGTTGTTTGCTTTGGTCAAGGCTCATCTTGTTATGGGGGTTCAACTCTCATATTTTCAGGTGTAAATGTCATGATTGTTTTATCATTATCGGGATTTCTGTTATTTGTGGTTTGCTAGTCAGTTTCTTGGAAGTATCTTTAGAAGCTCCTAACATTTTACAGGAAAAGCTTTAAAAGGGCAGACACAAAAAGTGCAACAAGCTGTCCTTCAGGTAAATTGTATGCACACAACATCTTTCTATATCTTTAAAGTCTATGTTAAATTTTGCCTTTTCCTTCAACAGAAATTCCGTACTGGTGGATACAATGTCATTGTTGCAACATCAATTGGTGAAGAAGGTCTAGACATCATGGAAGTTGACCTTGTGATTTGCTTTGACGCCAATGTCTCGCCCTTGAGAATGATCCAGCGCATGGGAAGGACTGGAAGAAAGAGTGATGGACGAGTTGATATCCTTAATGCTTAATCATTTCATTTACATCTTTAAATTTGGAATTCTTCAAGTCAGTTCATGTGTACTATGATATGCATCTTGATGAATTTCTTTGACTGTTAATACTAGTTCTAGCTTGTGAAGGATCAGAGGTCAAGGCATACAGGAAAAAGCAGGCAAGCGGCAAGGCAGTAAGGAAGCACATGCATAATGGCGGAATCAAGAGCTTCAGTTTCCATTCCAGCCCTAGAATGGTGAGGTTTGAACTAGTGTTTGTGGATTATCATTCTCCATAACACCGTTTCTTCTAAAGTGTTAATTTTTTTGTCAGGTCCCTCATATTTGCAAACCAAAAGCTTCTTTTATTAAAATTTCAATAGAGAAGTTCATTCCTCGTGGGAAAAAATCGCGAGATGATTCACTGCAGAGAACCCCAGTTTCAAAAGAATTATTAGTTGAAGAAAAAAATATTTTGGCAAGGTACTTCCATCCAGCCGAAGAGGATATACAGGAACCATCTCTTATTGCTTTTCCCATTTTTCAGACATTTCCTTCTAGTGTACATGAATTGCGGCATTCATTTAGAACAACATCAATGCTGATTGATGCTATGCAGCATCTTCGAGGATTAGCTCTGTGTGAAGCTAATAAAGATTGTTTGGTTGAGGTCTGATTCTCTATTACTATTAGTTATTTGTGTTCTACTTATTTTGACAAATGAAATAACATCGTATCAAAATGCACTTATTCAGGTTGATGTTTCATGTCAGCCCCCTGAAGCTGCAACAGTTGCCGTTAAGAACAAAGAAAAAGGTATCAACCTTTTGCAGACCTCTTACAAGAACTTGTTGATTTCATTGCTATAACATTCATGGAGAAACCTTTAGCCTTATCCTGTTTACATGGATCAACTTAAATCCGTTGGTTTTCGAAGTGTAGTTTCTTAGCAAGGATTATCTCCTAACCAATAAGACACCTCTGATATGTCATCATGTAAATGACGTTGCACCCCTTCCCTGATGCATAGGTTAGGGTAGGTGATAATGTCAAAAAACGCACAAAATGAATCTTATGCACATTCCAGGCTATTTCACACTTCACTTGCATAGAAATTAACAACACCAAGAAAGTTAACTGCTTATGGTAAGAAGTCTTAGAACAACATATCTAATTTCTGAAAAGGTATAGTCTCAAATTAGCACGTATTTAAGACTTCAATGAATTGTCTACAACATCCAATGGTCAAGTAAATTATTAATCAATGCTTCTAATTGCATGACATGGGAACCTGTACGAGGGAATACTTACAGCATATGTTTATTCCTTACCTGTTGACATGATGCTTTCAATTTCTTCGTTCAACAGAATAAGTGACGTTTTGTCTCATATTATTTATTTATTTATTTATTTATTCTATGTATCCTTCATTCCTTCTTGAATGAATTGTTGCCAAAAGAAATGTTTATAATTCTTAGAGATTGGTGTGACAGACTTCTTGTTCTGCAGCCTCGATTCACAAGGATTGGGAATAGGTCAGCTTCTGTGCAATGATAATACTATGGCTAAAATTACTTTGCAATAACATACTCAGTTTTTTTTTCTTATTTAGAATTGGTGTATTACCCCTGACAAGAATTAACATAGGATGTCACAGGGTTGCATTGCAGTGTTTTATCCTGTATGCTTTCCCAGAGCATGGAAGTCGATTAAACAGTTGTTATTTAAACATAGAGTTGTACCCCATAACCTATGTTACCTGGGTACCTCTTGTCTGAAGCTGTACCCGTACCCATATCCAAACTCCTTGGACACTCCTTGCATATATGCATATGTTTATTTGAGCATGTACTTAATTATACAATACATGTTTTTAATTTAAAACACTTATCACATTTTTTGGACATATATCCTACACTTCACATCTACTTATTTAACCTCATTCGACGTAGATCACCTTTCGAATTATGATTTTGAAAGGCCTTTCAGATGGCTAGTTCAAAAACTAGTGATTTTCCAATTTATAATCCACGTAATAAAAGACACAAAATTGTTATAGGAACTTTTAGTATCATCCTTGTTCTCATATGTGCATATAAATATTTAGATAGCCATATCCCCCTACCCTTCCTTTAACAAATTTTCTGTGTCCTGTACCCTTGCGAGTAGCCACACCCATACCTGTACCCATGCAACAGAGCCCATAACCTACTCCATGATTCGGGTCAGGGCTTTCAACGGCTGATAAACATGACTTATTCTTAGCATATTTTGACATGTTTGAGTTTCAGTGTAATCCTCAACCACATATATTCTAAGTAATAGCTTTTGACCCTGTCACTATTGGGGCAATAAAAGATAAAGTTCTTCCATTTCTTTTTTATATCTGGATAGATCTATTATCATATGCTCCGTCCATTTCCTGTAACCTGTAAGTGGTGTAGATAATCAGGCGTAGATAATCACGTGCATGTATGTTTTTAAGCGATCAACATATAACATAACATGCATGTATTTCAGCAACCTGTTACATCACGGAAGCTATCTTTGAGGAAAAGCTCTCTGCTATTGAAGAACTTGAAGAACCACTTAAGGAGACTCCGGAAAATGGGCTTAAAATTCCTTCTCATCCTATTAAAAAATTCTCTTCTCACTGCTTCCTTTTTGGGAACGATTTTGTAAATGTTAATTCTGTTGGAAGTGTTCTCATTGCTTCTGTACCTCGCCTTCCTTATAAAGGAGATGCATTTTCTAAAGTTATTCCGTCAGATGACAATCAAGAAATGTTTATGAAAACAGTAAGTGATGCTTTCTCTTTCGAGGAGCGAACTACACAGGGTATCTCAGAAGTGGAAGCAGTCCCTGAGCAGAAGCTTGTTAACATCAAAGGGCTTTTATCATCTCAGTTACAGAAATATGGTGAACAGAAAAATGACGGGGAAGAAAGTTTTGTGCTTGAGACCTCAGTCTCTAAACAAAAAATTATGTATCAAGAAGTTGCTGAGGCAACTGTAAATACCGTGCTTGAGACCCCAGTTTCTAAGCAAAAACTTATGAATCACGAAGTTGCTGAGGACACTGTAAATGCTGTGCTTGAGAACCCTGTTTCTAAACAAAAATTTATGAAGCAAGAAGTTGCTGAGAATGCTGTAAATGCTGAAGATGTTTTACAGCTTCCATTAGTTTTCAAGTCACGTGATACTTTAAAAGATATGGATCTGAGCCCCAGACTATCTCATTTCGTTGAGGAGGGTATTGTTCCAGAGTCTCCTATACTCAACCAAAGGCGCTCCATTGCAGAGCATATTGTGTCTTCAAACTTCACTCCTACGTGTGTGAAACATGGTTCATTGGTTAAATCTCAATCTACAAGCATACATGTAAAGGAAGATTTAATTCTTGCCAGTTCTTGCTTGGTAAAGAATGAATCTTGTGAGCCACTCGATGCTGCACATAGTATCAAGAAATCTTCTGTTGTATCAATGGATGAAATTATGATTGCAGATAAATTTGGCCTGGGCAAGTTGAAAAATTGTCATGAAAGCAGAATCAAAAGGAATATACTGTACTCTCCAATCAATGAGGATATTCACACTCCAATAGTTGATTCCATCGGCAACAGTTCTAGTGAAAATTGGCAACAGAACTCAGCTGAGGCGTCAAAATCATCAATTTCGGCTCCCCAATATAAGAGGTTAAGAAAGTACCGGGACATAGCTGAAGAACTTCCCTGTCAGTCAACAAAGGAAAAAGATAATTGCTCCCTGCCAAACAAGTGCGGCCCTAGTATTAGAAATGGATTAAACCTGGCTGGTCCCAATAAAGGTAAGATCTTGTCTTCATTAACTGCTTTTATTACGGATATACAAACTCAATTACATTGCTGTTTGAGCTCGACAATTAACTCGTCTCTGTCCTGTGACATCTAGGTAAAAGGAAGAAGATGAAGAAATATGCAATTTCCTTCATTGAAGAGGAAGCTGAGTAAGCCATTATTTTATTCACACAGATAATTTATAAGTAATCATTTATTTTATTAAAATTTGTTCATAATATAAAAGAAACATTCAACAATTTGAAAGACATCAAGGAAAATCATTTAAATATATCCGCATATGTTGTAGTTCTCAGTGTTCTCGCAATGTCGTTATTGTGGTTTAGGGTATCTCAAAATGCACAAGTTTCTGAGGACGAGGAAGACGATGATTGTGAGGAAGGAGTTGATGGTAGTTTCATAGATGATAGAACAAGTCCTACTGAAGCAAGTACCGAAGAAGAAGACATGGTGGCATTCTACCGGTAAGGATAGTGGGTGCTTTCTGTAAATTTGAGTTTTCCTTTTCTAGTTAAGATTGAGTTTAGAAGAATAATCACTGAAAATAGCACCCTTTCTTTGGTTAGTCATATATCTAACAGAATGTGCAGCTCGGTTTTGGCAGATACAGCTCGCATCACGTAGTACTAACCATATAGAAATGATACCAAATTAGGTAGACATAGGTCCATTTTGTGACCTAGCTTCAGTGGGTGATCAATATGCAAGCAAATGTAAATAATTTTCGCGTTTCATACCTTGATATGGAAGATAATCAATTACAGGATATTTTTTATGAGGTCATGGTGTTTCTTCAAGCGACACCTTGTCTATCATCTAAGTAGCAATAGGATATTTTTATGAGGTCTTGGTGTTTCTTCAAGCGACTCCTTGTCTATCACCCAAGTAGCATAAGACATGCCATGGACATGACTATTTGGCGGTACCTCATAAATTAGAGTATTCTGAAGTGATGATAACCACAATAATAACAGAAGAAACTGTATATTAATATATGTGTAAAGTGTAAACATATATAAGCTTGCATATGTGCTAGAAATTAACCTAGAATGCATTTGTGGAGGGAGTAGGCCTTGACTTTTCAATTTTCAGTAGAATAGTTATTGGTATCTACTTTCACGTAAAGATGATATAAACTTACGATAGCTTTATATGATCACCATCTTTTTAATGGATAAACAAAATAGAATACATGTAAACATGGAATTATTGTAAAGAAAGTGTTTGACTAGTGTGAAAAATATTCAAAGAAAGTGGCCATGTGTTTACGAAATGCATTGTAAGATTGAGGGCAATTATGAGTAAGTATTCTAGAAGTATCGGGTCTATCACCGGTATGGCGTCATGTTTGAAGTGTTCATGCAATCTATTCTATCACAGTGGAGAATAGTCCCTCAAGTAACACCCTTGATCTTGATGATGTAAAAGGATATACTGATCTGCAGGACAAGAGAGCATCGAAAGACAAAGAGAGGCACAGAGATGTATCATGAGATCATACATATTGGTTCCGATATTAAGCCTTGGCCTTGAGCCTCGTGGTCTTGCCTAATAGCCAAAAATCTTCAGATCTTCTATCTGAGCGGTCAATACCCTATGTATGGTTTTGAGCCACTGCAGAAGTGGGGCTGAACCCAGTGCTACCAACAATTTTTATATAAAGATAATGTTGCATTTTACATTGCAACTATGATATAGATAGGTTCATCTTTACATAATGAAATTTAGACTGCATATCTAAGTAAAAGATTATAACTAACCAGTTGACTATTAAAATAGGTCAAATTCAAAGTAGAATATTCTTTATTAGTCTGGCAATGCACTTACTATTGAATTATCTAGCCTGTTTACAGGTATAATTTCAACATCCCTGCTACTATCAGTAATGTGCAGTACATTATTAGCGGAACAGTGAGGAATCTGTAATACAAAAGGCAGATTCACGTTTGCTGAGTTTCTACTTATCGATGGGCCTTCTCACTTCTCCTGACATCAGTTCCTGTTGAGTTTTAGTTGCATAAATACTTGTTAAGATTTCCACCACTTCGAAGTTTCTAATTATGATTTTTTTTCTTGGTAAAGTCAGGTTACTGTTTTCAGGCAAAATATAATAATTTAACATCTTTGTCGAAGTAAATATATTTCCATTTGCTTATTAATTAGAATCTTGAGGCAATCCTTTCTTAGGTGATGTTTAAACTTTAGACAACTGGTTTGACTGCATCTAATTTGATTTATGAAGGCTTACTACTTAATTTTATCCAGGCGCTCCCTGCTCACTCAGTCACCAGCAAATTGTCTTCAAAACTCATTGGCTACACCTTATGAATCTTTTTCATCAAGAACTGGAACTGAAAGCTGTTCATCAGAAAAAGTATGTAATCATCTCCCAACTCACCAAACTGGCTTACATTCTGCAGATGAGTCTCGTGGCAATCAACATGTAACCCACCAGGTGGAACTTGAAAGAACTATAGTATGTGAAAACCCCATTAAAGGGTATTCAGCCAAATTGGAAAGCAGAAAAAGAAAGTTAAGCTTTCAGAATAACGGTTCCTCTGCAGCTAAATCCCCACTGGAGCAATTTATTGAATTAGAACACTCAAGGGAAGTACTACAGCAACAGCGGCAGCAGCCTGGGAATAGTGATGTTGGTGCTGATTTACTATGTGATGATGATTTTTATCAGAGTATCGATCTTGATGCTGTTGAGGAACAAGCTACTAAACTCTTGAAACACAAGTCTAGTGTGACAGTTCCATGCCACTCTGAAAAAATAAATGAACAGCTTAATATGGATGTTCTTTGCTCTCCATCATTTGATTTGGGAATCTGAGGATGATCGAGACTTGCAGATTGTTTGATTTGTGAGAAATCAGAGGGTATTTGAGTACTCTTGTGCGCAACTGAAGGTTGATCCTTAGACTTTGTGCTTCGTGCAGAAAGGCTACTCAACAGGTCCATCCTGCTTGTGTTTATTAGTCAAAGGATAATCACTACGTGAAGGAATCGGCAGAAGCTTTTACGGAACATCTGTTAGAAAGATGAAGCTTGATGTCTTCGTGAAAGCATGGACTCTCTGAAGGAAAGGGTTATCAAAGCGGTACTGATCAACGAGAGCCTTAATGTCCCTATCAGCTATTATCAGTGCGCTAATCGCGAGAGCCAAATGGGAAATGATATTTCCTCTGTATTCTGATGGAGCCCAAGTGGAAAATTGTGGGATATTGTGGATCGCATAGAGAGAGCATGGATATATGATGATATTTATACAAGTGTTTGGATATCCGGACGGATGTTAGAGGGATAGTGTATCATATGCACCTGATTATACATGAATGCTTGATATGTGTTATCTTGTAGGCTCAATTGCCAAACTGTATATTTAATAATAACATCAGGGTTTATTAAATTACATTTATTTGATTTTGCAAAACTAAGACTGTGTTTGACATAATGGCAGTAACATGCAAGATTCCACTGAAAATACTAGGAAACAGGAAATGTCAACATGAGAGTAACAGCCGATCACTATCGGCGCCTATATGCAACAATGCTTATGTGCGTGCAACTGTGCATAACATTTATACGAAGTCAGAGATTTGCTATAGAAAGTGCCAACACAGCGGACTGTCCCCAACAAATTTCTGTATTATATACAACTAAGCTGTATTTGTACCAGCAGAGTAATAAAAAACATAAGTCTGTCAATGACTTCATCAACTTAACGGTAAGTATACAACTCCTTTTGTCGAGTTCTCAAACATCCTTCAGTTCTATCATCTTGAGTGACCTATATGTGTACTGGAATTACTGCACTAAAAAGTGATAAGCAGATAAATTTTACAAACCCCCACAATTCAGATAAAATTTACTGCAATAATTTTCCAGAGCAGGTAAACTACGATACATCAAGTAGATTAATTACAAGCACGGGTACAGTTTCAAGATCCCCACCAGCAGGCCGACAAAAACAAACACAAGGCCCAGCAAGAGGTCCAACCAAACTAAACCCTACAGATTACTACTAACGTATTAATGTACAAAAGTTTGCAGTAGCTGCCTTCAGCTGAAACTTGCTTCTTATGGCGTTGATGATGTGTGTACATGATCAAGTACATAGAGATAGATGCACCTCAATCCGATTGCCCAGTGATGATACATTCACGAAAAAAGATTTGTGTGCACTTCAAATTCTCCGCATCCATGATTATGGAGAAAGCCTACAATCTGTTACGCGAACCAATACTGGATAAGTTTCACAATTATATATTTTTTATATAATTCATGCAAAAAGTACAGATTTTATTGTCCAGAAAAAATTGTTGGATTTATCTACAACCAAAGATAAAGAAAACTACCCAGATGAGAAAGACATGGCTCTCCTGAAGTCGAGAGATTCCAAGGCTGACTTGGGGAACTGCGTTCCGCTAGGAACCCAGAAACCGCCCTCATGAGGTAGCACTATTTTCTGGTTTCCGTTCTCACTAGAGCCAGTCTTTGAAGGCGCATCCTCTTTCTTTCTTTTAACAAACTCGAAGAATTCTGCAACTTGTCGGGCATACCTGAATAAAATTGATAACCATCAGAACGTAGCAAAGCAGTCATTCATACATATATTACTAATACGACCAAACTTTGATGTAGAGCCCTACACATGAAACATTCTAACAATACACATAAATAGCTCTCTTCAAAGTCTGGAACTATATATAACCTTTGTTTAGCCCATATGCTCTAGTACTGTTGGGAAATTACGCAAATTCCCCTATAACCAGATTTACGAGAAAGCGAAATAAATGCGGAATAATAAGACCAGGAAATTTAACGTAGTTCGGTACAAAATTGTCTACGTCCATGTGCTGTTGCAGAATGGCGAAGGTCCCGTACGCCTCAGCAATTGAAAATCTAATGTATGTCATGGTTTGTACAAGGCTAGGTATTGCTCAAACAGTAGGAGTTGTTAGCAGGTACATGAATAATCTAAGCAATGTACACTGGGAAACAGTCAAATGGATCCTCAGATATCTACGGGGCACCACAGGTAAAGCACTTTGTTTCAAAGGTGGAGATATAATACTAACAGGTTATGGATGCTGATTTAGCAGGAAATGTTGACATCAGAAGGAGCAATATAGGGTATGTCTATACTCTAGGAGGTATTGCAGTAAGTTAGGTTTCTCAACTGCAGAAGATAGTTACTCTCTTCACAACTGAAGCAGAATATGTCGTTATCACAGAAGCTAGCAAGGAAATGGTTTGACTTCAAAGTTTCTTGGATGAATTAGGCAAGAAACAAGACAATGTCTTATATTGTGACAGTCAAAGTGCAATTCATCTGGCGAAGAATCCGTCTTTTTATTCCAGAACGAAGCACATACATATGCAGTATCATTTTATCCGGTCACTTTTGGAAGATGGATTTTTAAAACTTAAAGAGATCAATAAAGCTCAAAATCCGACAGACATGCTGACAAAGACGGTGACTACTGACAAACTGAAGCTGTGTTCAGCTTCAGTTTACCTGTAATAGTATCAAGCTCGAGGAAGAGTTGCTGTATAGATCAAGATGTAAAGACATATTAAAATAAGTCTTCAAGTGGGAGATTGTTGAAAGGGATGGGTTGAGTGATAGCCGGAAATTTTGAAAGCAAATAAAATTGGCAGGCCCACCTCAATTAATTTCACCGAAAAAAAGCAGGACCGAATTTTTGACTGAGGAAAGATTTCGGTGGCCGAAAGTTTTTAAAAAAAAATGTGGTAGCGAACCCCACCACTAATAATATTTTATTACTAGTATTTTCCCAAACACTATAAATAGACTTATAACTCTTCAGAAAAAATCATCCCCGAAATAACTTCTCTTATAGAAGAGTGAGAGAAAATGGACTTTCTTCTGTTTGTCAAAGATGCAATCTTCACATAAGCCGACATCTACATTCTTCAGATCCAGCAGCTTCCCTTTTGACAGAAGTATCTTCATCCCTTTCTTGCTCATATGATCAAGCCTTTAATGTCATAGGTTTGATTTTTCATCTGCATCTGTTACTACAATGATATTCTCTAAGTTAGACGTTACATAGAGAGTACCAGTTTTCTTACCTCGAGCAATGACGAGTGCTCCTTTGGTAATCTTTCATTCATGACCTGAGAAGGTTGTACAGTAACCCTCTTCATCAAGCTGTCCCACAGAGATCAAATTCCTTTTAAGACCAAGAATATATCTCACTCCTTGCAGCTTCCATGTGGTCTGATTTGACAATTTTAATCAGATGTCTCCCTTGCCAGCAATCTTCAAGGTTTTATCTGCTAGATGTACCTTTCCGAAATCACTGCTGACGTAGTTCTCCATAATTTCTCGGAATGGGGTGGCATGGAAGGATGCCCCTGAATCAAGAATCCATGATTCAATCGGACTGTTGACGTTTAGAATCATAACATCACCTCCTTCCTTGGTCACGTTGGCAAACTCCAGTGCGCCAGTATTTTTTTCAATGTCCGACACTCCCTCTTGAAATAACCCTTATTGACACAATTATAGCAGTTGGAATCTTTCTTTCCCGATCTAGATTTGTTCATTCTAGATTTTGATCTGCTGTGATTTGAACTTTTTTCTGAAGTTCTCCCCCTAGACTCCGTGTGTAAAGCTGAAAAGGTTGATGCTTCACCCGATTTTCTCCGTCGAATTTCTTCACTAAGAACCAGATCACGTAACATTCCAACTTTCTGGTAGAGAAGACAAAAGTATCAATACTCGTACTTCTTACTCAAACTCAATTCCAACTGAACTCAACTGGATTGTGACTGTATTGAGTTCATTGAGATGTTAAGCTACCGATGCGCCTTCTGTCATCCGCAAATTGAACAACCGCCTCATCAAGTGAACTTTGTTTTTGGCAAATGGCTTCTCGTTGAGTGGTTTTTTCTTTGCTATGTTGAAAGCAACGTTGCGGGATAACGTCAATCGGATAACTCCAAGGGCTTGTCTGTCGATAAGAGTCCACTATTCATCCTTCATATCATCTGGCTTACTTCCTGAGAGAGGTTGATACAGCTTCTTTTGGTACAAATAATCTTCGATCTGCATCTTTCAAAAGCCGAAGTCCGCATCATCGAACTTCTCAATTTTCACATTCCATTCGTCTGCAACCATCGCTCCCACTCGAATCTGACACCCTCTAGATCGTTTCTGACTGTTTTCGCGAACCATCGTGTATTAAGACACCACTGCCGACAAATCGATACCGCCGGTAAAGTATCACTATTCACGAAATTTACTATTCACGTGAATAGTGACCTTGCATAAAATTGACAGAAATCACAACCAGAGCTCTGATACCAGTTGTTGAGAAATTACGCAAATTCCCTTATAACTAGATTTACGAGAAAGCGAAAAAATACGAAATAATAAGACGCAAATTTAACGTGGTTCGACACAAAATTGTCTACGTCCACGGACTGCTACAGATCTTTCACTAAGGGGAGAAAATTTACAAGCACTATCACACATACTCAACCAAAATTTCACTCTGAAAATTACTTTCAATTTTCTCACTCTTCTATAAGAGAAGTTTTTGGCATGATTTTTTCTGAAGAGTTATGGGTCTATTTATAGTATTTGGAAAAATACTATGCACTAATAAAATATTATTAGCGGTGGGGCCGTGGTGGGCCCGCCACCATCTTTTTCCTTTTCAAAACTTTCGGCCACCAAAATCTTTCCTCAGTCAGAAATTCGGCCCTGCTTTCTTCTTTCGGTGAAATTAATTGAGGTGAGCCGACCCACTTTATTTGCTTTCAAAATTTCCGGTTGCCACTCAGCCCGTCCCTTTCAATAACATCATCACATCTAAAATTCCAATAACTAAAGATAGGGAATCTAAAGCATGCACAGAACAAGCAATGCACCAAAACATGAATGATAATCAGCGAGAATAATCAATGGACTTGTCAAATCACATCAAGAACGAACACATTTTTATTTATAGATAGGTCAATTACGAGTCTATCACCTCTTATATCTAATTTTCTCTGTTCTTTCTAGGGAAAGCTATTACTGATATAAGAATAATGTCAAACTAGAAGATAGGAAATTGGCTCGTAAGTCATAACGTTAAGAGTCAACATAGCAAGATACTGCAATTTCACAAAATAAATGCCCAAATCTGATCCCGGCCCATGTGAGGCTTTTGTCTCTACATATCTTTGTATGTAATTTTGACTGAATACTTTATGCTTGATCGCTTCACCTAAGCAGTTTTTAATTCTAGATCCTCTGATACGACGACTAGTATCCTCATGCAACCTGCTGCAACTGACAATCTTTTTAAGCCGCAGTTAATATTCATAAGAATCCTCATACAAGGCACCTGAGTCACTTGCACTACATTTCTAAGAGTACTTCACACTTATTACGATTATCTAGTTTTGCACATATCAATCTTGTTCCCAGTAGTGTCTACATCTACCTGGAGTCCAGGACCAGCTATACATGATATCCATCACTTAACCTGGTCACGATGAAAGGATACCAAAATACATATAGCACCCACGAGGTACAGTCCACGAACAGGGTTTTGAACAGGACAGACCAAATGGAGAAACAACACTGGAACTGGGTTGCCATGGCCATTTCATAGAATACTGATAAGGGTCATTAAGTAATTAACTAATGAACTACATATTATGACAATGAAAAGACACCATTCAATGGACCTTAGTCATATAAAATAATGAGGAAAAATTAAAAACAAAAGCCTCATGCAAACATAGAAACAGTTCCAGGGTTATGGAAGCTTACTCCCTCTTAGCTTCAATATCTTTGCTGAAATCAATATTCGGTTCGCAATCCAACACCAGAGCAGGAACCTAATACCATGAAAATAACTTGAGCATTGGTCAAGCAACAGTATAAAGCTTGCAACAGAAAAGGTAAATTAGGAAAATTACCTTCTGTATACTTGAATGCAAATCATTTCCCTCTAAGTAAAATACACGATCTGCGATATCAGGATGCAGTGAGCAATCCATATGCATTGGCAACTGACTGAATGACAGTACACCATGATTTCCACTTTGAAATGGGAGTAACCAGCTCTCGTGTTTTTCATGCAGACCTCTCAAATAATCTAGGGACACGCCACCTTCTTCCGCCCTTTTACGCATCATCATTCTCTTGTGACATGTGTCTGGGCTAGCTCTTAGATAAATGAAACCATCAGGAATAAGACCTGGCAAGGTCGACACAACAGGATCAAACCAAGAATCATAGATGCTAATTTCCATCTCATTCATCCACTTAGCTTCATGAACAGCTCGCACAAAGACCTAACATGTAAAAATCCGCTTTCAGAATCGAGAAGAAAAATACCAAATTAGAGGATAAAAATAATATCATATCCACTTAAAAATATATCAAATTGCAAATGCATACCATTCTATCACTAAAAACACTTCTTTCCATGAGCCTGAGGGGTTTGATTCCAGCAGAAGATTCTCGTTCCTGCATGACCCTGGTTACAAACACATAATTCTGGAAGGTGTAGGCATATCTTTCTGGTTCAGCATAGAAAGCATCTAGTATATTGAAGTGATCAGGACCAATATCTTGCCATTTTCCAATAGGTTCAGGCACTATTTCCACAAGATCACGCAACTCCAATGTTTCATTAGCAATTCGCTGCAGGAAAGTGGTCTTTCCAACACTAATATTTCCCTCGACACAAAATGTGAGCCTTTTCTTTGGATTAAGCTTCAGCTCGGAGCCACTATCTTCATCTTTTAACTCTTCATCCACACTCTCTTTTATGAAGGAGGTTATACTTTCAGCATGGTTTTTATGAACAATTCCTACTGAGCTCCTTAAGAACTCAACCATCTTCTGACTTGCCTTTCCAAAAAACTGAAATCATAGGCAGAGGAAACAATAGTTATTAACATATTAGACCCATCACATCACTCAAACATACTCTGCCAACATCAACCAAAGCACTGCATTCAAATTATCTTACATTTTTAAACTACCATCTGGCATCAATGAGAAGGCATTTCATTTTAGATAAAAATAGACCTCTCCCACTAACACAAAACATAAGAAGCAAGAAGCTAAAATGTACATCACTTGGGCTACAGTAGTAGTCAACTTAACCATCAACTTTAAATGATACAGTAAGGAATAAAATCCACCCTACCAGGTTAAAACCAAGTTAAAATACCCTTGTCGTTCAGCTGTAAAATCTTCTCTATGGTCAAAAGGAAGCAGTGCAATAAATAAGGAATATAGTGTAAAACAACCAGTGACTAAAATTTAAATCCCTATCACCACAAGTCTAAGAAATATAATCAGGAATCGATAACAACTTATGCGGTAAATTTCGAGCACTATAGGTTAACCGTTCTTAAAACCCTAGAAGGTACCAACTACCGAGTTATTTTGTGCTTTTTGTTTTCACATAAACTACTAGGAATCATATCCAAGTTCTAATGAAGACACATCACTAGAAAGATATCATAAAAGTTATCTACAATATTACAACAGCCATACACTTTAATAACTTCAAAGCCCTACAAAAATAAGCCTGAGAGACTTTACACTGGAAGAGCAAATGAGTTTCAGGTATCTCATTAAACCACCAAACATTGTAGCTTTGTTCCTGTCACAAGAGCAAAACTCAAAACAACCTGAAAGTAAACAGAAACCCAGCATCTGTCCAAATGAAATCCCCGAAATTCAACCACATAGATCTCAATTAGGGTCCGGGCAACATATTCACAAAGCCCCAGGCAAAACTCAAGCATCCATTACCCTTAGGTGAACCTGATCCATTAGTACCACCAAAAAAGGCAAAAACCAACCCTATTCACGTGCTAAATCATGAGAAAATGCCTTGGGACGAGAAAACCCCAAATTGCATATTTGAAGGTAATATGGAACATTGTCCTTACATTCGGTACGTTTTGACATATTCTCTGATGCAACATCATCATTCCAAGTGCACACAAAACCAGTATAATCACTTTTTACACACTGAATACTTAAAATTCAACAAACAAGCACATAATATAATTGTTAATAACGTAACATCTACAAAGCAAGAAAATCATATACCTTATCCCTATACAGCTGTTTGAGCTGTGCAACCTCCTCGAAACCCTTATCCACCAATTTCCTCAGATTCCTCGGCCCAACCCCCGGTATCGTCAAAAGACCAGCACTCGCCACCACCGCCCCCTCCTCCCTCCTATAGACAGCTCTGCTGCTACTGCCACTGCTACTGCTACTGCTGCTCTGCTTCTTGTCACTCAAACCCGCGTCAATCTCGCCTTCACTTCACTCCTCATCATCTTTACTCTTCTTCCCCGTATCATCAAACTCATTCAAGATTCGCCCTTATCATGACTCCTCGAGCCCCCGGCCTGCCTGAACCCTCGCCACACTGGCAAGTGACCGGGGCGGCGGGCGCGATGTCCAGAGACTGCGGAGTAGTGAACGTGAGGGACTGGAGCGCTGAGATGGAACGCGGCAGGCATTGAGAACGAGAAATAAGGGTTTCGAAAAGAGTGGGGCTTTTTGTTGCATTTAAGCCAAGACGAAGTTGAGAGGACGGAGCCAGGACTTGCGGCGGTGGCGCGAAAGAGCTTTTGCATGGCTGATGCTGATGGGGGTCATGAAGATAGGGAAAAGGGTCGAGTTTTAGGGTTGGGTTTTTGTGTTCTTGGGATTAGGGTTAGGGTTTTGGGGGGGCAGGCGAGCTTGGTCGGCGGGATTTACGGAGCTAGGGTTTTTGGGGTTTTGGGGGAATTTGGGAGATGAGATTGAGGATTTTTGAACGAGAGTTAGCTACTTGCGTGTATATATCCCTTAAATTATGGATGTTTGCAAACATACTTCCCACATTTTAGTATTTGCAAAAATGCCCCTCAAATCATCAATTTTTTAAAGAAAGTACACCTGAAATCAACAAATCATCAGCTTGATGTTAAAAATATAGCTATTTTGTTGATAATTTTTATATTGTGATTATAAGTTAGCTTATCAAAGTTAGTGGTTAATTGCTTTGAGGGTCATTTTTTTGTAAAGTTGATTAGTTGAGAAAGAGCTTTACAAATACTGAGATTAGGAGTGTGTTTTTGTAACACTCATGATTCAAGGGCTAGATATGCCCATTAATACTGGGGCATTATATATAATTAAATGATTTATTAATGATTATGGATGTAATTAATCAGGTGTTAGGGAGATTAGTTGGAAGCACTCTGTGTGACCTGTAACTTTGTTTTCCCTTTCTTTACAGATCAGCTTCGAACGTTTGATCAGTGACAAGGACCTGTACTTACTTGCTACTTTAACCCCCCCAAAAAAAAGATTTTTAAAGGGTTTTTGTTTCTAAACCCAAGGTTTGATCCCCATTTACCTGATAACCCACCTAGTTCTGTACGCTCTCATGCACCCAAAATCCATAGTTTTTCTGTTATTTCTCGTGGACACTGCATCAATGACCTGATACAGTGATACTCTCTCTTATGGCACTCAATATCTATGAGCAAATATCACTCATTATGAGCATTTAAGGCTGATCTTTCTAACTCCCAAGGGAGTCGACTCTTCAAGATGGTTCTTCTTGCCGTTCCAGCTGGTGGAAGATATGGGCTCATCACAAAAAAGGGTGACGTATAGATTATTGGGTTCAATCTATGTTATTACTTGTTGTGTACTTGATTGTACTATGATTAAGCGTGCTACACCGTGTCTGTATCCGAGAAAATATCCGTAATCATATCCTAACGAATACGAATATGGTTACTCAAATCTATAACCAATAGGATATGATTACGGATATGGTTTTGTAGTGAAATATCCTTATCCGTATTCGGAATATCCGAATACATATTAGCCATACTCTTACGATAGTTTCGATTCTTAGATTATGGATTTGTGGTTATTTTTGAGGATCAAGGTGTCCAATCTTAACTTTTCATTACAATGAACATATTAACGAACTCTTTTGTATCACATGAACTATTTTTTTCTCAATACTATCTAGTTTTCTCATATCCGTTTTTTATCCGCGTGCATATCCGCTTATATATCCGTAGCCGTATCCGATTTTAGCGGATATGGTTATGCTTTTTTCTTGCCGATGTATATCCGTATCCGTATCCGAGATGGGTAAGCGAGTATGGATATGGTAATCCGAGCCGCATCCAGACCGAATGCACCCCCTAACTATGATGCATAGATGATCATAAGCAGTTAAGCACTCTATCAACACTTCAAAATTATTCTAAAGATGTTAAAATTAATTTGGATCAATGTGGTTCATACGCTTGTAAAGATCAACAAATTTGCCGTAGAGAGAGAGAGGACATGGAAGTGAGGCATGAAGGAGTAAGAAGGGTAGAGAACGAGGGAATGAAGGAGTAGGAGAAGACTACGGAGAGAAAAAGAGAACAAATGGAAGGTAGCAGAGGAAGTGGAAGTAGAAGGAGAGGGGTGAGGAGCTGGTAGTGGGGGTGGATAGATGGAGGCAAATGAGTTTTTTTATTTTGTTATTCATACTCTCTTTAAAAGTACGAGTTCGGAAAATCTTTTTTAGACAAATATACCCCTTTATAGTTTGAACTACCTTATCTATAATCAAATTCTAATTTTCAATGGTCAATATTACCCTTCACTATTTTGAATATTTATTTATATCTTAATCTATCCTAATCATAATCATATCTTATCCTAATCCTATATGAACCATGTTTAGCTTAACAATTTAAAAAAACTAATATTAATAAAATATATAAAACATAAAAATGATATTAGTTTGCTAAGATAAAAAAATTACAAGTAGATAACATATTATAATACATGAAGTATTGCAAAAAAACCATAAAAAGTTTTAAAATTGCAGAAAAGACCCTAAAAAGTTCAAAATTATAAAAATCATCCCAATGTCTCAAAACTTAAAATAAAAAATATAAAATTAAAAAATTAACATCAGTTTGTAAAGAATTTAAAATTTACAGTTAACACCTCAATGTCTCAAAAATTATAGAAACACCCTCAAAAGTTTAAATTACAGACAAGCACATTAAAATTTTAAATTTTAAAAACTTACAAACAACACAGATGAATTCAAGAGATTACCATGATACACCTAAAATTTTTGATATTTAAATTTAATTTTTTTAATTAACACCCTTAATATCTCAAAAATTATAGAAACACCTTCAAAAGTTCAAATTATAAAAAACCACCCTAAAATTCTAAAATTTATAAATAACATAAGATGAATTCAAGATATTACCCTTAGACACCTAAAAAATTAAAATTTACCGAAATTAACATCGAAATTTTTAAAAACTCCTTCAAAATTTAAAAATTGTAAAAAAAAACTCTAAATTTTTAAAATTTTTAACTAGCACACATCAAATTTGTCGATTGGTAGACCGCTAAAATTTAATATTTTTCAAAATTAATCTATAGTTTTAATAATTGCAAAAGACACCCTCAAAATTTTAGAGTTACAAGAAATATACTAACATTTAAAAAATTACCACCAACACATGAAACATAGAATTTACAACTACCAAACTTAAAAGTAATTTTTTTAAAAAAATCTTTCAAAATTTTAAAAATTACAAATCACACCCTCAAATTCAAAACCACAAAAATGGGCTAAAATTTTAAAACTTGGCAAAGAAAAGTGTAATTGTTTGGTATTTTTCATATATATATATATTAAAATTTCTAATTTAGGGATTTACTATCCATTTTCAGCATCTAAGAATAGTCTAAGTTGATACTGGTAAACAAAAACAATAAGAATTGATTAAAAACATCTGGTTAATGGATAAAATTTTTAAAAATATTATAGATTAAAAATTTATCAGCACTATATAAATTAAATTAATTTCATATAATTTTAATAATAAGTTGGGGTAGCCAAAATACATTCGTAACATTAATTGATAGATGTTTAAATCCATAGAAATGATAAATCACTATATATTATACCTTAGCATTAATTGATTTTAATTTATAAACTTTAATCTTTGACGTTAATAATATTTATAGGGTATAAGAATACAAGGAATCACATATGGAGAAACTATTAGAATATTTAGGGATAACTTTAAAAGAATTGAGTTATTTCCATTGCAAATGGGAAAGTGATGGAAATAAATCTAAAATTCAGAAAACGTTAATGAATCACTTGAATTGGTATTAACATAAGACATATCTATTAATGAAGCACTGAATGAGTTACATTAAAAAATAATTTATTAACTTTATCCTAATCAAAGAAAAAATCTCCATGGAAGACATAAGAAAAATTAGTAAGTATTCATAAATTCCATACTGTGTTCTTCAAATTAAATATTAATATTATAATCTAAGAGAAATTGGTAATGAATAATGCAGGTATTTAGTTTAGATCTTTATGGAAAATGTCAGGGATAGAGCAAAGGTAATATTATTGAAATAACAGAAATTCTTATTGGATGCACATCAGAAGAATTCATTTTAGAGTAAAAGAAATAGATAGCTTCTAATTTATTTAAGTAATAAATTAGGAACACAAAGAATTTTATATATATGAAATTAATATTTATTCTCATTGAAATAGAAAAAAAATCAAAGTCTATATTTTGAGCAGTTTATGTTGAACATCATAAGTATTATTCTCATTGAAATAGAAAAAAATCAAAGTCTATATTTTGAGCAGTTTGTGTTGAACATCATAAGTACATTTGACTTCTTTATAAAGTTAAATGAGATGATAAAAAATTAACGAGCCCAGGAAAGATAATAGCATAAAAAATACAAAATTAGCCTGATGTCACAATTGATGTAGATGATGAAGACAATACTCTAGAATTGCCTGAGAAATGATAAATGATAAACCTGAAGAATGATTGATTTTAACTCAATAAAAAATAAAATAGAAGAAATAAAAAACAATATTTTTTGAATATTTTATAGAATAGTTTAATTATTTTGAGTGAAAATAGGAATCTTTAGAAGGGAGTTTCATGAATTTTTTTTAGTACTTTTATATTCTTATGTGGATGTTTTTATCATATAAAAGTATACTAGAGTTAGCATTAATCTTTAATTTATATTTTTTATGAAGTCTATCAATGATTATGAATAAACTTTATATTCTCTTTTGTATCGTTTTAACATACTTTAAATCAATCATTTTGCCATATTGGTTTTAAATATTCACCTTCCTTGTATAACACTATTTTAATATTTTTCACTTTGCAATACTATACTTTCTCAAATAAAGCTTAGTTTCATATCAGTCAAAAATAATATGAAAATTTAAATTAAATTTAAATTATATTTGTTTTTTATCAATTCAAATATCAACATAAAAATTTAAATTGGGTGTATCCCATTTTTTTTATCAATTCAAATATCAACATAAAAATTTAAATTGGGTGTATCCCATTTAAACAAACATAAAAAAAATAATTGGGATGTAAGAGTTTAAAGCCCATTTAAACAAACATAAAAAAAATAATTGGGATGTAAGAGTTTAAAGAAAAAAATGAGCACAAACTGCAAAAAATATTTAATCATGATATTAAATCACGTGCATTGCACGTGTGTAAAAACTAGTATAGAGAAAAGAGTGGAATGTGTGCTTTTGGGGAATTTTTAATTTTTTGAACAAATACATAAGCACAAAAGTCTTTAGGTTCAAAGATAAAGAAACCCTGTATCTTGGGTGTATGAGAGAACATATTGAACTAAGTGGTTTTTGAGACAAACGAGGGTGCAACTTTGGGTTTACAAGCAAAAATCCCCTTTTTTTAAGATACTAGTTTTTACACACGTGCAATGCACGTGATTTAATACCATGAGTATTTTTGGCAGTTTGTGCTTATTTTTTTCTTTAAACTCTTACATCCCGATTATTTTTTTATGTTTGTTTAAATGGGATACACCCAATTTAAATTTTCATGTTGATATTTGAATTGACAAAAAACAAATATAATTTAAAAATAATTTGAATTTTCATATTATTTTTGACCGATATGAAACTAAGCTTTATTTGAGAAAGTATAGCATTGCAAAGTGAAAAATATTAAAATAGTGTTATACAAGGAAGGTGAATATTTAAAGCCAATATGGTAAAATGATTGATTTAAAGTATGTTAAAACGATGCAAAAGAGAATATGAAGTTTATTCCTAATCATTGATAGACTTCATAAAAAAATATAAATTAAAGATTAATACTAACTCTAGTATACTTTTATATGATAAAAACATCCACATAAGAATATAAAAGTATTGAAAAAATTTCATGAAACTCCCTTCTAAAGATTCCTAATTTCACTCAAAATAATTAAACTATTCTATAAAATATTCATAAAATATTGTTTTTATTTCTTCTATTTTATTTTTTATTGAGTTAAGATTAATCCTTCTTCAGGTTTATCATTTATCATTTCTCGGAGAATTCTAGAGTATTGTCTTCATCATCTACATCAATTGTGACATCAAGCTAATTTTGTATTTTTATGCTATTATCTTTTCTAGGCTCGTTAATTTTTTATTATCTCATTTAACTTTATAAAGAAGTCAAATGTACTTATGATGTTCAACACAAACTGCTCAAAATATAGACTTTGATTTTTTTTTTCTATTTCAATGAGAATAAATATTAATTTCATATATATAAAATTCTTTGTGTTCCTAATTTATTACTTAAATAAATTAGAAGCTATCTCTTTATTTTCCTCTAAAATGAATTCTTCTGATGTGCATCCAATAAGAATTTCTGTTATTTTAATAATATTACCTTTGCTCTATCCCTGTTATTTTCCATAAAAATCTAAACTAAATACCTATATTATTCATTACCAAGTTCTCTTAGATTATAATATTAATATTTAATTTGAAGAACACAGTATGGAATTTATGAATACTTACTAATTTTTCTTATGTCTTCCATGGAGATTTTTTCTTTGATTAGGATAAAGTTATTAAATTATTTTTTAATGTAACTCATTCAGTGCTTCATTAATAGATATGTCTTATGTTAATGCCAATTCAAGTGATTCATTGACGTTTTCTGAATTTTAGATTTATTTCCATCACTTTCCCATTTGCAATGGAAATAACTCAATTCTTTTAAAGTTATCTCTAAATATCCTAATAGTTTCTCCATATGTAATTTCTTGTATTCTTTTACCCTATAAATATTATTAATGTCAAAGATTAAAGTTTCTAAATTAAAATCAATTAACGCTAAGGTATAATATTATAGTGTTTTATCATTTCTATGGATTTAAACATCTATCAATTAATGTTACGAATGTATTTTGGCTACCCCAACTTATTACTAAAATTATATGAAATTACTTTAATTTATATAGTGCCGATAATTTTTAATCTATAATATTTTTAAAAATTTTATCCATTAACCGGATGTTTTTAATCAATTCTTATTGTTTTTGTATATATATGAAAAATACCAAACAATTACACTTTTCTTTGCCAAGTTTTAAAATTTTAGCCCATTTTTGTGGTTTTGAACTTTGAGGGTGTGATTTATAATTTTTAAAATTTTGAAAGAGTTTTTAAAAAATTTACTTTTAAGTTTGGTAGTTGTAAATTCTATGTTTCATGTGTTGGTGGTAATTTTTTAAATGTTAGTATATTTCTTGTAACTCTAAAATTTTAAGGGTGTCTTTTAACATTATTAAAACTATAGATTAATTTTGAAAAATATTAAATTTTAGCGGTCTACCAATCGACGAATTTGATGTGTGCTAGTTAAAAATTTTGAAAATTTAGATTTTTTTTACGATTTTTAAATTTTGAAGGAGTTTTTAAAAAATTTTGAGGTTAATTTTGGTAAATTTTAATTTTTTAGGTGTCTAAGGGTAATATCTTGAATTCATCTTATTTTATTTACAAATTTTAGAATTTTAGGGTGGCTTTTTATAATTTGAACTTTTGAAGGTGTTTCTATAATTTTTGAGATATTGAGGGTGTTAATTAAAAAATTTAAATTTAAATGTTAAAAATTTTAGGTGTATCATGGTAATCTCTTGAATTCATCTGTGTTGTTTGTAAGTTTTAAAATTTTAGAATTTTAATGTGCTTGTCTGTAATTTAAACTTTTGAGGGGGTTTCTATAATTTTTGAGACATTGAGGTGTTAATTATAAAATTTAAATTTTTTGCAAACTGATGTTAATTTTTTAATTTCATATTTTTTATTTTAAGTTTTGAGACATTTGGATGAGTTTTATAATTTTAAACTTTTTAGGGTCTTTTCTGCAATTTTAAAATTTTTTATGATTTTTTGCAATACTTCATGTATTATAATATGTTATCTACTTGTAATTTCTTTATCTTAACAAACTAATATCATTTTTATGTTTTATATATTTTATTAATATTAGTTTTTTTAAATTGTTAAGCTAAACATGGTTCACATAGGATTAGGATAAGATATGATTATGATTAGGATAGATTAAGATATAAATAAAATATTCAAAATAGTGAAGGGTAATATTTACCATTGAAAATTAGAATTTGATTATAGATAAGATAGTTCAAACTATAAAGGGGTATATTTGTCTAAAAAAGATTTTCCGAACTCGTACTTTTAAAGAAAGTATGATATGATATGATATGATATGAATAACAAAATAAAAGAACTCATTTGCCTCCATCTATCCATCCCCACTACCAGCTCCTCACCCCTCTCCTTCTACTTCCACTTCCTCCGCTACCTTCCATTTGTTCTCTTTTTCTCTCCGTAGTCTTCTCCTACTCTAATCTTCAATGATTCCGTATTAAACCCCTCGTATTCTAAGGTGCTTGCAAATTGGTGCCTTGAGGACTAAGATGCCTATCAAGTTGTGTTTCTTCCTGAAACCCCAAACACATAAAATGAGGAGCATTTTGGCCTCATTAAGTGATCAAAATGCAAGACCTTAGGATGTAAAGCACTTATGAATAATTTTAAAGGCTAATATGGAATTATTGAAGATATGAAGGTCTCTATCTAAAAACCCAAAAATTGGTATCATATTGTACCGGTTTTATTCTGATTTCCCCCTTAATTCTTTGATAGCTCTAGGCATTTTTTAGACGCAGAGTTATACCAATATAATTTGTAAGTTTAAATTGTATGACACGGCTAATGGATGCAAAAGATATTTGTGAAATTTAGTATTCATCATTTGGTTAGATTTTGTTTTAGTTTGCAAAATAATCCGAGCTGAAAGTGCTATCTTGGCTCGAGTATAAAGAATACAAGTGTATAAAAAAAATCTTAATACATATGCAAAACAACACAAGAGGATGTGTTAATATCGTTTCTAAAGATAGAAGTCAAAGATATATATACTCATATGAGTTGTAAGCTGGCGATGAGTAATAATCCAAAGCCTATGTTTAATATTCATGATTCAAAGGGTAAGGGGTAAGTTCCCTCGTAAAAATTATTTTAAAAAACTTTCTTGACTAAAATATTCATTTTTTTTTTGGATTTTTATTCCGTATTGGACCTCGGATATTTATTTATTTTATTAATTTCCCAAATGCATTAAATTACTTTGAACAAAATTCTCATATCTTCTATTTTACACCATTAGATCTATTAAGTTGTTTAAATGAGAAAATTTTAAAACAGACACATATATAACTTTATTCACCAAAATCGAATTATTTCAAACATATTGACAAAAATCGATCCAGTTTTAACTAGGTCAAAAGATTTCTTTCTAATTAGTTGGGGGTTGCCAACCCTAATTAATTATTAATATGGTTAATTAAACTTCTAAATAGTCGAGATTGACAACCGTGACTATTTTGAACTGTAGTTTCAGCCCCCACTACTAATCTATGTAATTAAACTAGTGTCTAATTAGTTGGGGTTGCCAACCCCGTCTAATTAAAAAAAAGTTTTTTTAAAATAGACCTAGGTTTAGCCAGCTACTGATGTGGCCGAAACTGGTTCGCTTTTTGTAAATAAATTTGAAATGAGTCGAGTTTGGGGAATAAAATTATAAATGGGTGTATTTTGAAAATTTCTCCTTGTTTAAAATATGACCCCATTCCAAAATAAATATGAAAATTTAGGGAGCTAATATCGAATTAACAAAGACTAATGTGATCAAAACCCCGATGAAGGTATAAACCCAAAATTTTGAAGCTCAAACTATTGAAACAAGACCTACTAGGATTAGGAACCGATCATGGCGACCTTTCCTTCTTCTTTATATAAGGACTCTCTCCTTAACGCAAACGCCATTATCGCAAAGCATCGGATTTCAAGAACGCGTTCTCTGGAGGAAGGAAATAAAAAAAATCCTAATTTCAGAACAATCGAGGGAAAAAGATTCGATCTTTGATGGGTGATCAGTCTAATCACAGGCCGTTCGTGCGGCGCTCTGTCGTCGGCGAGCAGCGGCCGGCGGTTCGATGGGTCAAAGACTGGTGTGCTTTTATGATACTTTATTTTATTTTTGGATTTTGAGATGCTGGTCCCCAAATCTTTTGGAAAGAACACCCCACAACAAAGTTAGTTGATTCAATCACGGGTTAATTGCTGATAGGCCCCCTTACCATCGGCCAATTGAGGATAAACCTCTTGTAGTTCTATTGTTGCACATAGACCCTCAGCGAAACTTTTTGACTCTTTGCCCTCAGAGAAAAAGGATTGTTTTTGACAAATAGACCGACCAGAGGGCAAAAGAGTAATAAAAAAAATTCACTCAGGGGGTTTATCCGTAATTGTACAGTAGTACATGGGGTCTATCCGCAACAATAGAATTAAGGGTGGCTATGCTCAATTGGATGATAGTAGTGATAACTACATTACTCTCAGACTACTCTCACACTGCATTCTCATTTCTATGATGATTCATCAATAGACCCTACACTTTTTCTCTCTTGTAAGTAGTTTAAGTAGTTTGAGAAAGTGCAGTTTAGTTGGCATATTCATCCCGCAATTAACCCTTTAATCTGTACTCTTAATTAAAAGAAGTCCCTTTCGGTTTGTGTGAGCTCTATTTTAAGAATTTTGTAAATGCCTTAACACTCAGGGAAAAGTACAATGAGAAAAGCTAACAAAATGTTTGTTCCCTTGACAATTCGAGTTTTGCACTCCCTTGGGTTCCATAACATGCACGCTTCACATGCACTGGAATACTAGTTCTAAATAAAATAACTGCAGTAAGGCATTAAGTTTTTCTGTCTTTCCATCGTACTCTTTCAACCTATGCTTTTTATGTTGACAAGGCAATGACTCTCTCTAAACCCATCAAAATTTGCATATTTGAAATAAACTTTGCACATAATACGGATTTTAATAAGTTTAGAAGGGGCATTGTTTCGTGTCCGTTAGAAGTGATGGTTGAAGACAGATATAATAGACAGGTAGAAAATTAACCGTTATTTTTACTCTGGATTGAACTAACAGAATGTAACTAATGGGTTTTGGGAGTTTTTTTTCGTATTATTTTTTTGAACTTTCATTTCAATAGCTTTTTTTTTCCTTTCTGGTTATTGATTTTGCGAAGAAGTTCTGATTTTTTTCCTTTTTTTTCTTCTGCTGGTTCAATTTAGGGTTCCGCAAGATATCTCGGCGACAGGAAAGAGGATTTTTCTCTTAAAGTGGGTTAAAGGTATTACAGTTGAAGCTCTCAAATTGAATTGTTCTATTGAAGAACTTTCTGCATCTCAAGTAATCTTCTTAGATAGCAAATTAATTATGCAGATTAATTTGTGGAATGTTTTATCATAAACGAACTAAAATATAGTGGGCGAATAATAGATGAGGAGGGAGGGGAAGAGTTAGGGAAATCGCATGTTGGCAATTAAAGTACAGTGGACTTTTGTTTCTTGCAATAGAAAGGATCGAGACAAAAAGAAAAGGAGAATATTGTTTCAAGAGTGTAACTGGTTGGATGGTCAATCTGCTAAAATTAACTTTTTATAAATCCAATAAAATTAACTTTTTATGAATCCAGTAAAATTAACTTTTTATAAATCCCAAACTTTGTAAAATTTGTTGTTTTGTTTGATTATCTAGAGAGTTGGGCAGGAAGTTAGAGTACAGGCGTATTTTCCACTTTTTCCCCATAAAATCCTTTTGGAACGACGCGAACTTTGTGAAAGGATTTTACTAATATGGCAACAATTTTTCCCAACAAGTTTCCACAAAACAAACCATAAATTTTGGCATTGCAATTTGGTTTTGACAAAAATATTAGCATGGAATCCACTTTTTCTATGGAACCTTAAGTTCCCTATAGGCGCATATTCAACATTCTTTGCAAAGCCGGAACTATGAAAAACTCATATGTCACTATATAGATGTAGTATATTAGTCACTGGGGGGACACTAACTTGGTAGAAAATAACAGGAGTTCTGAATTTGAATTTATTTTTGGAAGATGTATACAGTTCCATATATCAAACAAGAATTTCATTTGGATCAAAGCATTTTCAGAAATTCATTTCTCTCAAACGTCTGGCCATGAAAAATGATAAATATATTACCTTAGAACAAGATGGAACTATGTTTAAAGTTATTTTCACTTTTTAAGCTGGATAGTTATATGTCTTCTAGCTGGAGGATTTCAAAGAAACTAAACTTTGTTTTCTCCTGAGAAACTTGAAAATGTTGTGGAGTTAAAAGAAATTCAGATCAGATTCTCTTCAGTTTCACATTTTACCTTTTGCTATTTGAAGCTTTCTTGTGTCATCTTATGTGGCTAACAATTGGATTGTCAATGTATTGTATGCAGAGGATACATTAAAGTCTCTAAAAGAGAGCTTTAAGGAGCCTGAACCAGAGGAGCCAAAACCTGAACCAGCAACTGAGATTCTCTTCCTCTGCAGATATAAAAGTTGCAACAAAGCTTACATTAATGAAGCTCAATATAGGAAACATGCTCATGTCCACGGTAAAAATCCTGGCTGTGGAAAGGTAATTCATGCATTATGTTGGTTATATTTCTTTTGAACATAGCATCATCATTCTTACTCAAGGCAATGTGAATAAATAACGAGTAAAGGGGGATGACTGTTGTGCAACTTAACCTGTTAAGCTATATTTGTTCTTAAAATTTTTCCTTGTTTTGTTGTAACTGTAATAATCTAATTGTTTTGCATGGGCATTTTCCAATAGTTGTAGATGCCAAATAAAAGTGCTTGATGTTATATCGAAGTTAATTTTTTGGTGTCCTTTCCATCAATTGATCTCTCATCTTCACATATTCATATTTTACAGAAATTTGGAGACAGTTCTAAGTTGAAGAGGCATCATCTTGTTCATACTGGAGTAAAGGATTATGTATGTCCTCATGAAGGCTGTGGCCGGGTAATCATCTTCTTAAGACATATAGATCTTGCTACATGTTTTTTATAACTAGAGTAGAACTGCTTGTTTTTGTTTTATCATTTTAACTCATCTCAGCAAGGCTTCAAGTGTCTCGATTCTAGGCTTACAAGAGTCCCAGTGATATATTCCTTTCGCCTTCAAACCATAATGCTAGACAGGGCATCGCTTTTATGCAGCACACTCTTATTGCGTGAAAAATTTCTCTAGATATATTCGGTAATGAGTGAAGTATTAATTATGGGGAAGGGAGAAGTTCGGGCAGCTTTTTCTTTTTTATACTGTGCATGTTGCTCTTTGTAAAGTATTCAAGATTTTTTTTAATTGATAATCTTGGCTTCCTCAGTATTGCATTAGAATTCATTAGGTACTTTATTCTAATATGATGCATTCTCATAGCTTGATCTAATGATTCTTTAGAAGGGTTGAAAAATGGATATTTATGATATCACAGTTGAACTTATTACGTCGAACCTATTATCTTGTTCTAGATTGCTTCTGGACTCGCTATTTTGTATGTTGTTGGCTATTCATTTGATGTTTCATAACGATAAATGATTTTAATTTTTTTAAATAATAATGGTTAATGCCTATTACTTATCAACTATTTGCTTACTGGTATTTTATTTTCTATTTTTGGAAATGTGTACTCCCACACCAATTATCTCCAACTGAAATCACACGCACACGCATGCACTCACGCACGCAGCCCCTCTGCCCCCAACACACACCCACCCATCCACCCACACACGCTTATTCTTACTGCTGATACTGTTGCTGCCTCTAAATCTGAATGTATTCTTACTGATACCGTTGCTGCCACTAAATCTGATACTATTTAGACTCTAGAAAATCTTTTGTTGACACACACACCACATGTATTCTTACTGATACTGTTGCTGCCAGTGAATCTGATACTATTTAGACTCTAGAATGTCTTTCGTTGGTGCATACAACTGATTTTTTAGGCATATAATGTTATGCAGGCCTTTAACTTGTCTTTTAACTTGCGGACGCACATGAAACTTCACTCGCAGGAGCACTGCCATGTTTGTCCTTACCAAGACTGTGGCAAAAGATATACGCAGGAATATAAGCTGAAAAATCACATCAAGGGACGCCATGAAAAGGTAATACTACTGTATCCAACTCATATGCCATTATGTCACAACCACATTTATATTGCTGGCTCTTTTGTCATTCATTATATTTCTACAGGCATGTCTTAGACTTTGAAATTCTATTCTATATTCTTGTAATATTTTTTTGCGTACTTGTTCAGGCTACATGTATAACTGAAATATTCACCCACTTTTCTGAGTGGATTAAATTGGAATTGATACAACCAACCCAGTTTTAGTTACTATATGATATTCATATGTCTGGTGGCTTTTAGTACACTTGGCTTGGTTTCATTAGTTCCTGCCCTTATTGTTTGTATACAAGGTTAATGTTTGGTGAAATACAGTCAAAATCAATCTTATTATGTAGACAAATAAATATATATCTCGACGTTGTCACCATATTCAGAGTTTTGATCAGGTTGATAATATTTGCAAGAATTCTTCATATCAACTTTCTAAAAATCAGGCAACCTTCTGATGAAAGAAAGCGTGATATTGCTTGGGAAACTGTCTTCTTTGTGTAATATTTTCTGCACATAACAATGTAAGCATCTGGTTGATGGTGTGCATATAAACAACAACAAACCTTTGTCCCAATTTTTGGGGTCAGCTACATGACTTTGCTCTTTCACTCGGACCCAGTTTTGTTGAAGGGCTATCTCGTCCACTAAGTTTATCATTATCATATTCTCCTTAACAGCTGTAACTCCTTAGCTTACCTCTGCAGTCTAGTCCTCCTTTCTCCATTACGTATAATCTTATCCCTTTTCTTAATTACTGCATTTAGCTTCTATTGCACCTCCTAATAATGCAGTCAATTCTTATCCTATTCGGTTGATGATGTTCATATGCAATTGTAATTTTTTCAGGCAGCAACTGTGGATATGATAAATCACTCAGTGACAGCAGATAAGCTCCAAAGAACTGTAAAAGCCCGTGCTGTTCATGGTGCTCATCGCCCTTATGTCTGTCCTTATGAAGATTGTGGGAAAAACTACATTCACAAATACAAGTTGAACCTTCATTTGAGAAATCAACACCCTGGCCATAATCGAGAAGATGTCTATCCTGCAAAAGGTGGTGTTGCAAAGAATTCTAAAAGTAACAAGCCCGATCTGCTACCCGAAATGTCACCTTCAAAGCTACAACAGAAAGGCTCTCCTTCGCCTCCCATGAGTGTCGATGATAGTGAGAAGCGGTGGCCAAACCATGTCATTTACGAACATAGCGAGGAAACTGAAGAAGAGCTTGAGAATATTGCAGGGGATGATGACGAGGAGACTGAGGATGAGGAATGTGGCCTGATTCATTGTATTTAAATAGAGAAATTGTGGAGTGTAGATTGAGAGAGAGAGAGAAAGAGAGAGAGAGAGAGAGAGAGAGAGAGAGAGAGAGAGCTATTGGGAGGTAAATAGTGAACATAGGGAGAATGAATAAAGAATGAAGTCTCTAAATTTATCGTGTATGCTTCATTGTATGGACGCTTAGATTTAATAAGACGCGACTATGATAGCTCAGTTTACCATTCTTTTTTTTTCAGTTAATGAAGTTCAAGTATACACCGGTTGTGTTATCAATTCTTTATCGTTAAGTTTATTTTAGTTCTTTTTTTGTGAATGCAATGATGGAAGCCGTTATAAGTTAATTATCTTCATGCAGTCTGTGTAGAATGTAAGCGTAGAGAATAGAAAAAACCCTAATAGTTTATTGAGAATAACAAGAGAGATATATATAGCCATACAAATAGGGTTAACGTTAACGGGTAACAGCCCATTAACCCAATACCTAATATTTAACTTAACACTCCCTCTCAAGTTGGAGCATAGATGTCTACCATGCCCAGCTTGTCACATATAGTAGAGAACACCTTTGAAGAAGTAGCCTTGGTAAGAATATCAGCAAGTTGTTGTGAGGACGGAGTGAATATGAGAGATACTATCTTCTTTTCCTAAGCATCTCTGACAAAATTGCAGTCAACTTCAATATGTTTTGTCCTCTCATGAAGCACAGGATTCTGTGCAATATAAATGGCAGACTGGTTGTCATAATGCATTGACATGGGTCCAGGCTGAACAAAACCAAGCTCTGTCATAAACTTTCTTAGCCACACCATCTCACAAGCAGTGTGAGCCATTGCTCTATATTCGGCATCTGCACTAGATCGTGATACTACATCTTGTTTCTTGCTTCTCCAAGTCACAAGATTACCTCCAACAAAAGTACAAAATCCTGAAGTTGACTTTCGGTCTCCCATGTCTCCTGCGTAGCCAGCATCAGAGAAAGCCGAAATGTGAGTATGCCCATGCTTCTTATATAACAATCCTTTGTCAGGGCAACTCTTGACATATGCCAAAATCTTCAGAGCTGCTGTCCAATGAACATCTCTAGGTTTGTGCATAAACCTGCTCAATACACCTACTGCAAAAGTAATATCAGGTCTGGTAACTGTCAAATATATTAGTTTCCCAATTAGTCTCCTATATCGTCCAGCATCATCTAGGAGAGAGGTATCATCACGCCACAAATCAACATTTGTCTCCATTGGAGTGCTTGTGGGTTTGTATTCCAAGAGACCTGCTTCTTCTAGTAAATCTAGCACATACTTCCTTTGGGACAACAACAGGTCATGTTTTTGATATGCAACTTCAATCCCAAGAAAATACTTTGGCTTTCCCATGTCCTTAGTGATAAAATGACGGTTTAGATACTCCTTAGTCTCAGTTAAGGCAATAGAGTCACTCCCAGTCAGCAGAATATCATCAATATATACGGCTAAAATAACCAAACCAGTTATTGTGCGTCGAAGAAAGACAGAGTGATCAGACTGACAACGTTGGAAATCAACATTAGAAATAACCTTGCTGAACTTATCAAACCAAGCTTGAGGACTCTGCTTTAACCCATAGATGGCCTTTCTCAGCCTGCAAATAATATTCTCCCCATGAGCAACATACCCAGGAGGTTGCTCCATATAAACCTTCTCGTCCAAATCACCATAAAGGAAAGCATTCTTCACATCTAGTTGGTGCATCGTCCAATCTATATTAACAGCCAAAGAGAAAAGAATTCTGATGGAGTTAAGACGAGCAACGGGAGAAAAGGTTTCAAAATAGTCGACGCCATATGTCTGGGTATAGCCTTTCGCAACCAGGCGAGCTTTATAACGGTCAACAGACCCATTGGGACGATATTTCAGGGTATACACCCATCTGCAACCAACCACAATCGCTCTAGTAGGAAGAGAAACCAAGTCCCAAGTCCCTCTAGAAAGTAGTGCATTCATTTCCTCATCCATGGCCTGCTTCCAAGCTGGTACTAACATAGCTTCCTCATATGACCTAGGTATAGATACAGTGGACAAGGACAAGGCAAACTGACGAAAAGATGGGTTGAGACGGTCATAAGAGACAAAAAGAGATATAGGATATTTCGGGCAAGATCGTTTACCTTTTCGAAGAGCAATAGGGATATCCAAGTCAGAAGGAATAGAGGTCTCAACATGAGATGGACCGACAGCTGGAGATGGACCGACAGCTGGAGATGAAGGTTCCGCAGTAGCAGATTCAGGGGCATGTACTTTTGGACGGCGAGAGTATGTCAGTAGAGGCTTCGGTGCAGGAGCAACAGGAGCAGGTAATGGAATAGTAGTAGGAGCAGAAGAAGGTATTGGTACCTGTGGACAGCTAATAGTAGTGGAACCAGATAAAAAATATGGGACATACTCAAAAAAGGTAACATCAGCAGACACAAAATATTTCCTGGTGGACGGATGATAACACCTATATCCTTTTTGAGTACGAGAGTATCCAACAAAAACACATTTGATGGATCTAGATGATAACTTATCCAAACCAGCAGTTAAATCCTGAACAAAACACGTAGAACCAAAGACACGGGGAATCACAGAGAATTTTTTTTTATCAGGATAAAGACAATTGAATGATATTAAACCATCAAGGACAGAGGAAGGCATGCGATTAATCAAATAATTTGCAGTGAGAACAACATCAGACCACAAATACTTTGAAATATTCATATGTATCATCAGTATTCTAGCAACATCTAGAATATGCCTATACTTCCTCTCAGCAACTCCATTTTGTTGTGAATTGTGAGAGCAAGAAGTCTGATGAATAATGCCATTAAGAGCACAAAATTTTGAAACATCACTTTTCATATATTCCAAAGCATTATCAGTACGAAGAATACGAACAGAAGTAGAGAACTGAGTTTTTATTTCATTATAAAAGAGTTCAATAACGTGCGAGACCTCTGACCTCTCTTTTAACAGATAAAGCCACGTCATGCGAGAGAAATCATCAATAAAGATAATAAAATATCGAAAACCTTGCACAGAGGGAACACGATAAGGACCCCAGACATCGGAATGAACCAACTCAAAAGCAAAACTACTACGTTTATCGACTCGACTCTGAAAAGTAGCACGATGGTGCTTACCCAGTTCACACGACTCACAACCTAAAGAGGAAATAGATGGCTAAACAGAAACTACCGATCTAAGTTTTTGTAGTGAAGGATGACCCAGACGCCAGTGCCACAATAAAGTGGAGTCAGACCGTGATGCAACAAGGCCAGCTTCTGGCACACTGTCGTCTAAATAGTACATACCTCCTCTCTCATGCCCCGAACCAATCTTCATCCCAGTTGCTAGGTCATGAAAAACACAATAAGATGGAAAGAAGGTGACTTTATAATTATTTTGTTTTGTAAACTTGCTAATGGATAATAGGCTAACAGGGAATTTGGGAACATATAACACATCAATTAGTTTTAAAGAGGAAGTAGCATGAACTACTCCATCACCACGAACTGGAGAAAGAGTACCATCAGCAATGCGGATAGAAGGAAACTTATCAGAAAGATGTAAAGATACAAAGTGATCCTTTATACCTGTCATATGAGATGAGGCTCCAGAATCTAGTACCCAGGGTTTGTGAGAAGAAGCTATGTAAGCATCCATACCTGAAGAGGATGCATGAGTAGCAGAATGAATATTCTGAGAGAGTTCTAGCTGGCGCAACCTTTCATAATCTGCCTGAGAAATCTGAACAGTAGGAGCAGTAACAGCTGGACCACCAGAAGTAGTAGCAGAAATAGATGAGTTAGTCGACTCTGTATCAGCTACCTGGGCCCACTAAGGACGACCAAACTTCTCCCAGCACTTCTCAGAAATATGATTGGTTCTCACACAATGATCACACTGTCGTGAGCCCTTATCAGATTCACCTTGCCTCCCACCAAAGGAACCACGTCCTCCCCCTGAATCACGGCCACGACCACGACCACGACCGCGGTCTTTGCCTCGATTAGAGAACATGACAGACTGATCCATCGTAGATGGAGATGGTGTAGTAGTATCAGAAGTAACACCAGTAGAGACCTGCATGACTCTGGAGAATGTAGCAGTCAGTGAGGGAATTGTATCTCTACCCAATATCTGTCCTCTCACCTGGGACTGTAAATTAGGGTTCAACCCAGAAAGAAATTTGGATACTGCCAGATCACGACGATACCCTAATAGCGTCGCTGCATCAGCTACTGCAGGCTGATGCATCTCTAGTTCGTCTATCAGTCCCTTCAATTCACCAAAGAACTCCGGAACTGACTTATCTCCTTGTTTGAGCGCAAACAGTCGTTCATAAATTTCAAATACACGAGAAACATTCTTCTCGTTCCCGTACATAATCTTTAGGCTGTCCCACATCTCCTTCGCAGTGGTTAAAAACATAACGCTGCTACTGATCTGTGCTTCCATACTGTTGAGAAGCCAAGTCATAACACAATAATCAGATGAGAGCCATGAATTGTAGGTGGGATCTGAGGTTGGTGGTGGAGATGCAAGAAGATGTGGTAGTTTGCTCTGAGCACTAATAAAGATGCGAAAAGCTTGTGCCCAGAACAGATAGTTTGTACCATTCAATTTAATAGTAGTTCCTAAGACTACCTTGGGCGCAGAGGTCTCACCAGCAACAATAGAAGGAGTAGTAGAGGAGGAGATGTCCGACATCGAAGTAGTAGTCATTTTTATTTTTGAGCAACAATAGGAGACAAATAGTAGTCAAATAGGCAGATTAGTAGTAGAGATCCGTTTTCGAAACATAAACTAAGAGCAGATCAGGAGCAGGATTAGAGGCAGAGTGGTAGATAGTCATGCCCTCACGCTGCGTAGGCGAGATCACCTGAGGGAGAGAGCCCTGGCTTTTGTTTGCACAAAGGCTCAATTTCTATATTCTTGTTTCTCGAAGGAAACAAGAATAAAAGTAAAATATCTCAACAACGTGAGATAGACACTCTTCCTCTCATCAGTTCTATGACTGAAATGTCGAGACTTCCTCTCATCAGTTCTATGACTGAAATGTTGAGGGATACAATCGTTCTCTCATCAGTTCGAAGACTGAGATGTCGAGGGAATAGGCAACACGATGTAAGGGGGCACTATAGCGGCGGCGGTACTGCAGCAGCGGGCGGTGACACTGTAGCAGTGGGCGGTATCTGTCCTCTCACCTGGGACTGTAAATTAGAATTCAATCCAGAAAGAAATTTGGATACTGCCAGATCACGACGATACCCTAATAGCGTCGCTGCATCAGCTACTGCAGGCTGATGCATCTCTAGTTCGTCTATTTGTCCCTTCAATTCAGCAAAGAATTCCGGAACTGACTTATCTCTCTGTTTGAGCGCAAACAATCGTTCATAAATTTTAAATACGCGAGAAACATTCTTCTCGTTCTCGTACATAATCTTTAGGCTGTCCCACATCTCCTTCGCAGTGGTTAAAAACATAACGCTGCTACTGATCTGTGCTTCCATACTGTTGAGAAGCCAAGTCATAACACAATAATCAGATGAGAGCCATGAATTGTAGGTGGGATCTGAGGTTGGTGGTGGAGATGCAAGAAGATGTGGTAGTTTGCTCTGAGCGCCAATGAAGATGCGGAAAGCTTGTGCCCAGAGCAGATAGTTTGTACCATTCAATTTAATAGTAGTTCCTAAGACTACCTTGGGCGCAGAGGTCTCACCAGCAACAATAGAAGGAGTAGTAGAGGAGGAGATGTCCGACATCGAAGTAGTAGTCATTTTTATTTTTGAGCAACAATAGGAGACAAATAGTAGTCAAATAGGCAGATTAGTAGTAGAGATCCGTTTTCGAAACATAAACTAAGAGCAGATCAGGAGCAGGATTAGAGGCAGAGTGGTAGATAGTCATGCCCTCACGCTGCGTAGGCGAGATCACCTGAGGGAGAGAGCCCTGGCTTTTGTTTGCACAAAGGCTCAATTTCTATATTCTTGTTTCTCGAAGGAAACAAGAATAAAAGTAAAATATCTCAACAACGTGAGATAGACACTCTTCCTCTCATCAGTTCTATGACTGAAATGTCGAGACTTCCTCTCATCAGTTCTATGACTGAAATGTTGAGGGATACAATCGTTCTCTCATCAGTTCGAAGACTGAGATGTCGAGGGAATAGGCAACACGATGTAGGGGGCACTGTAGCACAGCACTGTAGCGACGGCGGTACTGTAGCAGCGGGCGGCGACTAGGGTTTTTGAATGAAGATTTGTGACGGCTAGGGTTTCATGCTCTGATACCATGTAGAGAATAGAAAAAACCATAATAGTTTATTGAGAATAACAAGAGAGATATATATAGTCATACAAATAGGGTTAAGGTTAACGTGTAACAGCCCATTAACCCAATACCCAATATGTAACTTAACAGTAAGCATCATGGCTTCTTAGTTCTACATAATGATTCGAGATTTTATTCTCTGATCTTTTTTATTTTATTTTATTTTATTTTTTGAGAAATTGTAAAAAAGAAGTATAACCATTTCAGATTTTCTTAGTTTGGCCATTTATTTGTTAATTCTGATTGTGCAATTGGTTCTGAGGACGAAGCATATGCTTGGAGTAGCTAACTTCTGCTGTTGAAAGGGGTTCCAATCAATTGATCTATTTATGACATTTGTGTCCATTTTTTTTTGCTGCTAAGAGGCTAAGTTTGTAAAAATATGTGACACTTCTTCTTCTTCTTCTTCTTTTTAGTTTCTTTCTTCTTCTTCTTTTTTTTTGTTTTGTTTTGGGTTGTGCTATTTTATTAGCTTTGGACGTTGCTGCTGCTTTTCACAGTTCAAACCTTTTGATTCCAAACCTTACAGCACAATAGCCTATGCTAAAGCAACATGGGTCATTTGGTGATTGTATTTAATTTGGAGTATCACATGTTGCTTACAGATTTGGGGACCAATTTAAAAATTTGAAGATTCTGGGGGCCTAATTTCATAATACTTAAATGCGGGGGCTAGGATCAAAAACATCAACTTAGTTTTAGGGGGTGTTTGTTTTGTATCCCAAAATTTATGGATATGGATTTCACCATAGAATTTGAAATCCAGGTGTTTGTTTTGTATCCCAAAATTTATGGATATGGATTTCACCATAGAATTTGAAATCCATAAATTTTTTTACATGTTTTGGTATCCCAAAATTTATGGATATGGATTTCACCATAGAATTTGAAATCCATAAATTTTTTTACATGTTTTGAGATCTCAAAAATTTTGTTTGTTTCATCAATATTTTAGGATTTGAAATACCAAAATTTATAATATTTTGTTTGTTTCATCAATATTTTGGGATTTGGAATACTATAAATTATATATTATAATATTATATAATATTTTAATAACATATATTATTATAATATTATATAATATTTTGGGATTTGGAATACTACAGCATGAACAGTGATTATTGGGTCCTCCTATATATATTATATATTATATATATAATATTATATATATATATATATTATATATTATAGATATAATTTATATAATATATAATATAATATATATAATATATTATATATTATATAATATATATATTATATATATATATATAATACGCTACTATATATATATATTATATATTATAGATATAATTTATATTAATATATAATATAATATATATAATATATTATATATATTATATATTATATATATATATAATATTATATATATATATATAATATATATATATATATTATATATATATATAATATATTTATATATATATATATATATATATATATATATTATATACTATATATATATATATATATATAATATATATATGCTACAGTAAATTTATTACAGCCATGAACAATGATTAGTTGGGTCCTATATTATTATATAAATTATATATATAATATTATATATATATATATATATATTATATATTATATATTTAAAATATATAATATATAATATATAATATATAATATAATATATATTATATATTATATATATAATATATATTATATTATATATATATGTATATAATGCTATAGATTTACAGCAGGCATTTACTACAGCATGAACAGTGATATATAATATATAATTTATATATAATATAATATATATATATAGATATAGTATATATATGATATAATATATATATAATATTATTATATATATATATATTATATATTATATATAAATTATCTATATTATATATATATATAATATATATATATATATTATATATATAATATATATATATATTTATATATAAATTATATATCTTATTATATATTATAATTATACATATAATATTATATATAAATATTTATTATATATTATAAATAATATATATAATATATATGTATATATATATATATATATATATTATATATATATATATATATATATATATATATATATATATATATATATATATATATATATATATATATATATATATATATTATGTTATATATATTAATATATATATATTATTATATATATAATATAATATATATATAATATATTATATTTATAATATTATATAAATTATCTATATTATATATATAATATTATATATTATTTATTATATAATATATATATAAGATATAATATAATATATTATATATATATATTATATATAAATGTATATATAATATAATATAATATAATATATATAAATTATATAAATTATATATTATTTATTATATATATATATATAGATATAATATAATATATTATATATATTATATTATATATATATTATATATAATATATATATATATATTATTTATTATATAATATAATATATTATATATATATAATGCTACAGTAATTTACTGCAGCATTTACTAAAGCATGAACAGTGATTCTTGGGTCCTCCTATAATTATAGAGGAATAGATGTATTATATTAAATATTATATTATTATAATATTATATTTAATATATTAATCTTATATTATAAGCATTAATACATCAATATCCAACCTACATCCTCTCTCAATTGTAGGATTTCACAAATTCTAAAATATAATAGTTTTTTATTATTTGGGGATTCAATATCCCAAAATTGGTTTTGAAACAAACATGGTTTATGGAATTCTAAAACCCAAAAAACTTGTAATCCACCTTATATCCCAAAAAGAAGTTGAAACGAAAGAGATGATTTCACAAATCCTAAAAAAATATTATTTTTTTATAATTTAGGGATTTAATATCCCAAAAAAAAGTGAAACAAACATAGTTTAAGGAATACCAAAACTCAAATAAAGCACTTTTTAGATCCCAAAACTTGAAATCCACCTTATATCCAAAAAAATGAAACAAACACCCCCTTACAGAGAGATGGATCCGGTCTAAAACCGACCCGAGTACCCGACCCCGTTTTCCCTGCCTAAAACCCTCATCTTCCTCTCTCACTCCTCGCTCTCTCTAAACCCTAATTCTGTTCTCCTTCCAATTTCCTCCAAATTAGATATTTTTTTGCCTTCAAATTTAGCTAGTCACAATGGTGCGACCAAAGACAGGCCCAAAGAAACCCAAACGCGGCGTCGATTTCAAAGTAAGCCCTCTCTATTTCTTCATCTTTCAATTCGCAATGCTCAAATTTTCAATTTCCCCGTTTGTTTTTAGAAAATTAAGCGAAAGATTGGCCGTAAACTTCCGCCGCCGAGAAATTATACCGACACTCGGATCAAATCCAAAGGTAAAATCTTTTCTTTTCATGTTCGATTGCCCTATGAATTGGTTCCAAGGTGAGAGTTTTGAGGTGTTTTTTATTTTTTGTTTGTTTGTATGCAGCAATTATTCTCCCTGAGCAGAGTGTTGCTTCAGAGAGAGCGGGTCTTGCTGTGAACAAGAAAGGCCTCACTTTGAGAGAGCTCCTTCAGCAGACGTCTCATCACAATGCTAAGATACGAAAAGGTGTTTTTTTTAATTTAAAAAAAATTTATTCCTAAGTGTTTCATTCAGTGTCTATTTTTAGTTTTCTTTTCTGTTTATAAACCCAAAGTTGTACCTGTTTTATTTTTGAACCAACCCACTTGCAAAATCATTTGAAACCCAAATTACCCATACTTAATTATTTTTAAACCCAGCAACCCATATAACTACTGATAAACCAATCATAGTAACTTAGTCATCACTGTGGCAACCGATACAGAAACTTGATTTAAAAATAATTCACTATGGCTAGTTTGGGTTTAAAATGATTTTCGACGTGAGTGGGTTTAAAAATAAATCAAAGCAAAACTGTGGGTTTATAAACAAAGAACCCTTATTTTTATGGGGATTATTAAGTGGTTTTTTTAAATAAAGCTGCGTTGACTGGTATCAAGGATCTTGTGTTGAAGCATCCGTTGGAGCTCAAGCTGCATAGGCTTGTAGTAATAGAGAAGATCCGTGAAAGGATTTGTGATAATGATAAAAGTGTGCGAGAAACTTTGTATCGGCTCCTGGAAAATGATATTTTTCCACGCATTAAAGAGGTATTTTAGAATGTTCACTTTTTAAATATTATTTAAGAAAATATTTGGTGCTGTACTCATCTTAGTGTTTTCATTGATGTTTCACCTAAGAGCTGTATGCTTTATACCATATTGGCTAGCAACCATGTTTTCATCTTAAATTCTTGTTTTCAACTTTATTCTTTTGTAGGATGCCACCGGGCCAATCATTTCCTTGCTGATGGTCTATGTCTTCAATGCAATGACTCATATGGCTGTTGATGTTCGACTGATGGCTTTCAAATTTTTTAACCTTATCGTTCAGAGCTTTACATCTTCCTTCATCCTGTATGCTGAAAAGGTCTGTACAAGCTTTTAACATTTTTGTACAGTTTTAGCTACACACATCTTCTGATATTTACTGCTACTTGTAGGCCATTTTGTACTGTTTCTTACATGTCCTATTTGTGCTAGTAGGATTCTGTAGCAATGATCACATTATATTTAAAAAGAACATGCTTGCATATGCTTCAGTGTTGAATACCATATTTTTGGAAGTTGTTAATTTCCATTTATATGCTACTAAAAATTTAATACTTTTTTCTGTCTCTGACAGGTTCTTGACAACTATATGGATATTCTAAGAAACAATCAGATCTACTTACATGAGAGGAGCAACCTAAAAAATGTTCTTGATGGCCTCCTTCGCTGCATGTCTTCATTGGCCAACAGGAGGGGAGCAAACTATCAATCAGATGAACCGGTCTGTCTCATGTATTCATTTATGTCTTGCTTCCTATTTTGTTCTTTATATTCTAAGGCTCTTACCTTTACAGTTTTCTCGTATTGTTTCTTCTGCAATCTGCATCAAACTGCAGTTTACATTATGCTCGTCTTGCAGTTGACCTTTGCCTTTTGGACTTCATGAATATTAGATGAATAGTGGTTGTGTTTGGATATATTTATTACTTTCTGGGCTATGTTTCTGTATTCGGATTTTTATTCAGATTTGCTCTTTTTTTTTTATTATCTTAGAGATGAATACAATCATGTGTAGGTATTTCCCTCATCATTCACGTTCTTTTTATGCTGAGAGGAATTATGTAATAGCCCTTTTTTTTGGGGGGGGTGGGTGGGTGGTGGAAAATGGGCTAAAATTGGTATATTTCTGCATGAGCCAAGTGGCTGCAGAATTTACCTATTTGTATTCCACATGATCATCTTAGCGGATGGATGCCAACTCAATGATCATAATTTTTATTTAGCTTTTGACGAACGCATTCGCCCTATGCTACCTGGGTACTTCTAATCTGAAACCGTACCCATACCCGACACATACCTTACTCAAACTCCTTGCACATATGCATGTATTTATTTGGGCATGTATTTAATTATACAATACATGTTCATTATTGTAAATAGCGGCCGATAGCGGTGCTATTGCGGCATAAATAGCGGCAACGGAACCTATTGCTATGATTTCATTGATTGTGGTGAACAATAACACTCGTGAGCGCTTTTCGCTCGCCAAAGCGCTCGAAAGCGCGGAATAACAGTAAATACTGGCAAATAGATGTAAATAGTGCTCATCTATCTCTATTTGAAGACTTAATTTTATGTCAAGCTTGAAATAGTTAATGCGATTATGTTGCTACTAATCAATGTTATTCTGTTGTTGAGAACTTTTTTATTAAAGACTTGAAAGTTGAAAGAATGGAACAAATAACGGTCTTTTTGATAAGTATATATGCTTTTTTATTCTATGCAGTAGTTTTGTTAAGATTATGTGATTGTTACACGTTTATTACATGCTTAGGATCTCTATCTATGTTGCATAGATACGGGTACAGGTACGAGACACGATAAATTTGTATAAAGTAGGGTACGGGGACAAAGACTATATATATATATATATATATATATAATAATAATAATAATAATAATAATAATAATAATTCACATTAACAGTGAAATCTATTAAAGAAACACTAAAAACAAACTTCAACCCCCAAATTTGTTCATGAAAAGCCAAACGAGCCCCAACTTCACAGAGGCTCAGTTCATCTTCATCAGTTGCTCAAAGGAAAAAGGAGAAACAACTTTAAACAAAACCCTAAAAATCCTAAAAATCAAACCTTGAAAAATTTAGTTACCTTGTCTTCGAGCAACAGAGGCGTTGATTTTGCCGTCGAGGCGCTGATTTTCGTCGTCGAGGAGCTGATTTCCGTCGTCGAGGTGCTGATTTCCGTCGTCGAGGCGCTGCAATTGAGTCGAGGCCTTGAGATCTATCTTCCGTTGTTGAGGCGCTACTTCTGTTGATGGGTTCTAACGTGGGAAGGCAAAATTGGGATTCGAAAAGGAAAGGAGGACTGGGTATTTCAAGTAGCGGGTTTGGGTTATTGGGCTCAAATAGCGGACCAGATTGGTCTGATGATTCAAAATTTCAATTTCGAAACTTTTTGCCGTGTCCCTGTTGTTTGAGTGCGGATCCGCACCCAAAACGTACCCGTCACGGGTACGGGAAAAAATATAGCGTGTCGTCGTATCACAGATCTCTATAAATCATTACAGATGCATTTGTAGAAATTTTAGATTTTATTTAATTTTTTAATATTTATACATATTTAAATTGGACCGTTATTTGACTTTACGTTTTTTGCTGCTCTAGCCTCAAATAGCCTTAGTGGTGCCTCACTGCTAGGCCATACTATCCGTTGTCAGTAACCTTGTACATGTTTTAACTTAAAACATTAGTCATACAATTTTTTTTACATATATCCTACACTTCACATCCACTTCTTGAAACTCATTGGAAATAGATCATCTTCTGAATTTTGATTTTGAAGGGTCATATGGATGTCTAGTTCAAAAACTAGTGATTTTCCAATTTATAATCCACATAAAAAAGAAACATAAATATGTTATATGAATTTTAATTCTCATCCTTGTTCTCATATAAATTATTAATTCCAATATAAAATATATGTGTTTATAAATATTTATATAGCCATGTCCCCGTGCCCTACCTTTTACAAATTTGTCATGTCTCATACAAGTACCCGTACCTGTATCCATGCAACATAGCCTTCGCCATAACTTTTTCTCTATCTTGTTGTTCATTTTGACAGCCAAATACTGTTAGGGTGTACGCACAATTTTGCATTGTTTTCACTGTGTTTAGATTTTTAATTGGGGAATTTAATTCCATCAAGCAATTTGTTTTGCTTCCTTAACATATGATCACATTCCTCTACAACAACCTTGTTATCTTATATCTTCCTCTAATCTCTTTCTTTAACTCGAGGAATTTAAGACTTTAAATGCTTGCCTCTTGGTTGGAAGCTGCACGCCCGGGTAAGGTAGGAGTTCCGATATGGCAATTAGTCTTCCAGTTCTTATTCACAACATGTGGCAGACAGGAACTTACAGCCAATCCGTAGCTGGGTATGGTGTCGAAAGCTAGTTCGACATCTAGGGATCTGATTCATCATGTCGCTAGAATACAAAGCTTTAATCTAAGTGGCACGATACCAGAGACGTCTAGGTTCAAGTCCAACCAAACATGTATTTGTAAAGTGGCTTTAAAAGAAAACACCACTGCACAGAATTCCATAAGCTGCACAGAATTCCATATCAAGCTTATAAAAGGGATGTTCTGTGGATGTGGTAGAATATAAAACTATTGCATTCAACCTCTACTACTTCAGGCTTTAAGATTCTTTAACTCTGGATTATTTCTCATAAATGAGTCCATTGGTTGGAGAAGGCTTGAATGTTGGGTGAAGATCATGTTGATGAGTTTTAGAATTTTAGCAATGAAGAACATGACCTAGAAAAGTGTTGATGATTCCCATGTAGAAGTGAATGGTGAAGAAGAATATGCATCAAGTTTGGGCGTACTCTGTATTTTTCTTCAAATTTTTTATGGTCACTTCTGTATATGAGATAGATATATCATATATGCACAAACCTGTGAATCCATGTTCCTTTTTAGCTCTTACTGTCAAAGGGTTATGCCTACATGCTACTCTCTTTTGGCACTTTACTGACAAATTTCACTGGATCTAGTCTGTGTGTATTACACATTGTTGAAAACTAATATATATCAGTTTTCTAAACAATATCATTCAGTTATGTGTAAGGCTATTTTGATAATGAGAAGACTAGCTGAGATAGATGTGTCAGGTTTTGGTAAATAGGATATTAATTTCTGATGTTAACTTGGATAATTGACCTTCAGTGCCTCCAAGCAAAACCAGTTAAGGTGTGGCTTTACATAACTAGTTTTCTGTGTACTGCCTATGGCTCAATCAGTGAATACCTGGTGCCTGCAATATTTTCTTTAGGCTTTTTTGCTTACTTATATGTATGTGCCCTTGTATCTATGATGTATATACGGATTTTTTTGTGTTTAATTAGTCCATTCTGTTATAACCTTTTCAAGCAAACAAATGAATGATTAACTTGCAGCCTAGGAAAATCTACCATCCATAGTAGGAATGCAATTTTACCAATCATAAATTCTTCTGTTAAATTTTGCAGAATATTTTGGGGAAGAGGTATTTGCATGCTTATGAAACTGTCATACATAAAGATGATACAGGTATTCTTTTTGCTACCTTTAGTTTATTGTATCTGGAATTTGCAGTTTAACAAACTCTAGTTTACTTTTATGGAATATTGTTTGAAACCTGCCAGTGATACCTATTTGGGCAAAAGGAAGTGTTTGCCTATATTTTAAGGTTAATTTCACATGATCCCCTGAATTTTGTTTATCCCCCTCAACTTTGGGATGTCTCAGAAAAGCCCCATAAAATTTGACCGTTTCTCACTGGACCCTGCACAAGCCTTCCTTGAGAGAAAAAATTCCAAATTTTCAGTTGTCATTTTTAGGCAATGTAACTGCCGAAATTTGTTTTTTTCCCCTCAAGATTTTTTTAGTTATTTGCAAATTATATGTTTTTTTTGGGGGGGT